GCCTGTATCAGTAGTAGTGAGCCCAGCAGGATCAGGGCAGTGATCATCCCCTGTGCTGGGCACTGGTGAGGTCACACCTCAAATCCTGTGTTCAGTTCTGGGCCCCTCACTACAAGAGAGACATTGAGGTGCTGGAGCGAGTCCAGAGGAAGGCAATGGAGCTGGTGAAGGGCCTGGAGCACACGTCTCATGAGGAACAGCTGAGGGACCTGGGGGTGTTCAGTCTGGAGAAGAGAAGGCTCAGGGGGGACCTTATTGCTCTCTACAACTGCCTGAAAGGAGGTTGGAGTGAGGTGGGGGTCGGTCTCTTCTCCCAAGTAACAAGCGATAGGATAAGAAGAAACAGCCTCAAGTTGTGCCAGGGGAGGTTTAGACTGGATATTAGGGACATGGAAAGATTTATCAAGCACTGGAACAGGCTGCCCAGGGATGTGGTAGTCACCATCCCTAGTGGTATTTAAAAGACACATAGAACATAGAATTATTTAAGCTGGAAAAGACCTTTAAGATCATCAAGTCTTCGGGAGTGTCACATCCTTAAAAAAAAAAAGTGCTGGGGACATGGTTTAGTGGTGGACTTGGCAGTGCTGGTTATACTTGATCTTAAAGGTCTTTCCCAGCCTAAATGATTCTGATTCTATAAGAAGCAAGTAGTCCAGCCTTCTAAAAATACCACTGAAATGTTAAGTTTTGTGAAACGCTTGATTACATCTGAAACATGGCTGCACCTCACAGATTGGAACAGTCTTTAGAAATCGTCTTGTCCCACCTCTGCTCTCTGGAGTGATGAATGATTATTTTGCTGCTTACAGTTCTACTTCAAATCTACTCAATCAATAGGACTCCCACTGTTTACATGGAAGTTTTCCTACTATTTTAGCTGATAACCCCCACCAGCATTTCCTCCTCTGATACTTTTTTCTCCAATTATCTCTTCACCAAAAGTAATTCTGAAATATCAGTTACACATTGAAGCACTAACAAAATTTAAAGATGATTATATTTTACAGAAAACATTAATGTAGATGGATAGGTAGATATCTTGGACAGAGTCAGTTGCTTGGAGCTGCAGCTATTCTGGGTATCTCTCAATTTCCCTTCATAACAATTGGAAAATGTTTGACCCAATTAAAATAAAAAGTTGAAATCATTGAGCTAAGGCAGAAACAAAATAAATCTTACATTTAATGCATTTTTCTCTCCACTGTATCCCATTCATTCAGCTTAAAATGTTGGTATTCTGCCATCCAATACTCCAGTGCACTCACCCTTTGTAGCTTTATCCAATTCCAGACTGTAGGTCACACTGTGAACTACACTACACTATTTCTGGCCCAAAACAGACTTCTAAAAGCATCTCAGTACCTAAGGCTTTTGACATTTTTTGAGTTTCTGAAAAGTAGGTTAATGTAAAGCACTACAGCAAATCATGGCTTGCTCTATTTTTCATAGGGTCCAAGCTGTTGATGCTGTTCTCAAAGTTCTTGCATGTTTTAGCACTTCTGTCTCCTTCACCTTCACAGAAAGGTCATCAGGAGCTTCAGCAGGCTAGCAAAATGGCAATAACAAATGGGGCAATAATCCTACCAGACACCACGACATCATAGTTGGTATTTATAACAGAAAAAATAAAGAAGCTTGAAGATTTTTTTTTTTAACTGAAAATAGTATTAAGGAAACATCACAGACAAAAGTTTTCTTCTTGCTCAGGCAGCCTCCTAAAACTTCGCTTTGTCAAAGAACTGTGAAATCGCACCATCTACCTATTGTCACTGTGTAGAGCTGCGTAACATCACAGAAACACCAAAGGATTTTATTCCCTCCAAACGCTCTTCTAAACTTAGATTTCATCTAGGTTTGGGATTATGAAAAGTGTACATACCCAGCCTTGGGCTCCTCCTTTCTACCTTCACTGCAGCCAAGCTCTGGTCATACATACTGCTAAAATGTCCCATCACCCTCCCTAATCATTCAGAAATATGGACAGCTGCTTTCTAGAAAGATTTGAGACAGCACACCATCTCCTTCCATGACTTTTCTTGTTTTGACACTGAAACCATACAGTATTTCACTCTTCCTACTCTTGCAGCACTGCCCCTCTGGAGTTTTCCAATTATTTCGCCAGCCGTTTCCCTCATATGTTCTGGTGAATTCTTTCTGCCCACTCTCCACAGAAATAAAAGCACTGTGGAAAGCCCTTCTTTTCTGTCCTCTCCCCATTTTCACTCCCAACCAACTCTTTGATAGCTAAGATCAAGCACATCCAGAGAACAAGTCTCCTAAAATTGGATGGAATGTGGTCATTTAATATCCTTACCTTCCCTTTTGAGTGGATGTCAATCAATTCTGGATTTTTCCCCACAGGCTGAGTCTTCTTTCCTTATATATTCTAATGTGGCCTAGATAGTTGCTCTGTAGGTTTGTCTTGATGTCACCCTCTACCACTAAACTACTGAAGCTAAGCCTAAGTTAAGGAGGATGTTAGACAGACTAGGTATTGAAACATTAGGGTAACATTTCCTCTCTTGAGGCATCCCACACAAATGCACAAGATCAGGTTTAGCACTTAACCCACTGGAGCAGTAGCACTGAATCTTGACTACTGCCATCCAGAAGTAGCCAAACACAGCAACCAAAGGCATCTTCTGAGGGAGTACCATCATTAAGAATGACCCTACATTACAGAGGGGGAAAGGAAGGTGTCTTTAATGTTATTAGCATTGTAACAAATCTACCTTTTCAATTTTAGATCTGCATTCTTCCTACAACAGCTTAACAACTTCTATTTCTGCAATGTACCTCCACTATAAAATTAGTGTTCCTCACAATTTTTTCTATTTTTTTTTTTTTTTTTTATGCTTACATTCTCCCTGAAGATCCTTTCTTCCTATTGTTTACTTTTAGTACTGTCCTGGGTTTAGCAGTAGCAGTCAATTTTTCTCTTTCTTGGTAGCTGGTGCAGCACTGTGTTTTGACTTTCAGCCTGGAAACAGTGCTGATAATACCAATGTTTTCAGTTGTTGCTAAGTAATGTTTACCCTGACCAAGGACTTTGTGAGGCTCATGCTCTGCCAGGGAGAAGGGGAAGCCAAGAGGAAGCAGACAGGACACCTGACCCAGGCTAGCCAAAGAGGTATTCCATACCACAGCATGTCATGCCCGGGGTGGGTAACTGGGAGTTACCTGGAAGGACACGGGGTCTTCTGGGTTGGACTCGTTTCTTGGGGGGTGCTATTGTATTCTCTTCCCTTGTTATTTTCCCTTACCATTGTTGTTGGTAGTAGCAGTGGTGATTTGTGTTGTACATTGGTTGCTGGACTGTTCTTGTCTCAACCCGTAGGAGTTGCACTCTTTCGATCCTTGTCCCCATCCCTCTGGGAGCAGGGAAGGGGAAAGCCCACGAAGGGGGGGGGGCCTCGATTGCTTCCAGCCTGGCACCACTCACTGGGAGTGAGTGAACAAGCTGTCTGGCTAGGGTTTAAACCATGACAAGTACTCATTCCTCTTTAAGATGAAATTTAACACTAATAACTTGACTCCAGAGAGACCACCCCCCCCAAACATCCACAACATCAAAATTTCATTATGTTGGATAATTTGTTTCAGGTTCTTTGGAACCACCAAAAGAGTAAGAAACAAGTTACGTTATCAATTAACAATTCTTTGCTTAGTCTGTTATAAGTAGTATAGCATAGGTAGCATTTCCCATATGCTATGAGAGCTGCAAGTGTGTATGAGTTACGCAAACAATATCACCATGTGTAAGCACCTTCACGAGCAAACCACCAAAGAGATGAAGTACCAACACACATTTTATGTTTGAACTTTGCTAGCTATCAATCTCTCTATTGGTGTAGCTTTTCAATTATGACACAGGATGGCTCTAGAAACATGCACAAAATATTAGTAACTGTATGCCCCATTTCCTGAAACAAAATAACAAACTTAAGCATCTATTTCACAGACACCCAAGATCTCCACTTTAAAGTTGTTTTTAAATGATGCCTGGTCTAGAGTTGTATTTTTTAAATGTCCTCTCCCTCCTGCACAGCAAAACATTCCACAACAACAGGTATTTATACCACCCTTTTTATTTTTCAGCCAGAAACGCAGTTTTACAGGGTATTTCGTTAAACATTGGAGTTTATTTCTTAAAGAAAATCCCCATCTCTTTGGCATCTGACCATAATCTGTTTTTCAAACTAAAGACTATATAAGAAGATTTTACTTTCAAAATCATTGTTCAATACACCGAGTTTACACTTGTGTTGTTAGCTTTTAAAAAAAACACATAGGTTTGTTGCAATGATTTAATAAACCTAAAAAAAAAGATAATCAAACTAGCAAAATGCAGACTAATGGGCTGCCTTCATTTACCAGCTGTGGAATGACAGAATGAGGACTCCACAGTGCATGCACTAAGTAGTGCTTTCTATTCATTCTGAATGATAAACAAACAAATATTAATTCTACCAGAAACAACTGATCAAACAATTTATGTTTCCAAAAATGTGATCTTATTTTTAAACTACTTCTGACAGGTCATCAGCCAAAAGCTGCACATTGATTCAAGTAAAAGATTGCACCTAAAATTAAAAACCCCTCTAAAAACTATTGCTCCTTTTTAAAGTTACTAAGATGTTTTAAATACATATACGAATACAGCTGCCAAACTGAGTTTTACATCATGACTGGATAAAAAATTCTTAAGTAACATAAGTAAGCCAATGTATTCAATCTACTCAGATAAATAATCCAGGATTATCTCTTAAAAAAAAGCAAACAACAAAAAGTAAATCAAAATCGGCTTTCCAGATCTCTAGTGTTCACTGCTTCAAATCAACTGCACTTCCAAAATAATGATGAAGTTATTTGACACCTCCTGTTACCATGCATGATACTGAAATCACAGGTTAAAAATCAAAACCATTACTGACATATCAAAGCAGACATTCCAGTTTATTTACTGGAATCTGCAGTGAATCATTTTTTGTGCCATAACAATGTGAAAAATAAATCCCACTTACAAAAAAAAAAATCTTTACTCCCCAAAGGATTTTTTTCTAATGACTCAAATACTTATCCTGAACAAGTTTTATATAGAACAGAGGAGGCAAAGCAACTACTTCCACACAGAAACAAACAAACAAACAAAAAAAAAATAAAAAATCATTTAATAGGATTCAAGTAGCAAAGGTTTGCTCTGAGTTAATCTCACCCTCATCACCATTGTAAGTGCAGTCTGAAAATGTTTGAACTTAATTGTTTAAACAGAAGTGATCTTATTTAACCAAGCTCACTTTTCCTCTCCATGTGAAAAGAAAAAATAAATACGTATGTTTTACTGTAGAATACAGGAACAGAAAGTCAAACCAAAAAACCTCCTAAACTTAAGCACTTTTCCAAGAGCAGTTTCTAACATCAGGCCAAAATCAGCAACAACCAAGCAGACATCACCATTTTTTCAGTGTTAAATTACTGGAAATACCAGCTCAAACTGTAAAAAAAAAAAAAAAACAAAAAACCAATCCCAAACCCCACAATCAAAAGGTGTTGTTTTTTTTTTTTGTTAAAAGGTGTTCAAAGAAAATATCCACCAGTTGAAGTCAAATTTGTGTCAGAAGCTGCTTTCTTAGGAAAGATTTCTCCCTCCACATATTTTTAACACATTGCCATTTCCAAGATTCTATTCAAATATATTACTTTCTGATAACATTTAGCTGATACAACCACATACAATGTGGATAGTCATGTACACAGTACAACAGTGGATTTTTGCAGCAACAGAAATAACTAGAAATCGGTTCTAAATTCAAGTTGATGATAGCTCATGTGCTATTTCTTGCAAACATACGGTCCCCTCTGAGGTTGAGGTGTTGGAGCTGGTATTGTAGCACTTCCGTGTCAGCAGGTTCCTTAATGCTCATTTTGTCTAAATTGAGGTAGTCCAGGGATTTCGAATGAGCCCGTTTACCTTTTAAAAGGCAAAGAGGCAGGGGACCATGAAGTGCCTTGTAAGGTTCATATGGTAAAGCCTTAGTGCATTTATCCCCTGAGCTCGGCATCCTTCTCCTCCTCCTTCCATTTACTGCTGGGATCTCATATGGCTGATAGTACCTACTTCTAGTTTTGTACAAACGGGAGGAACGTGTAAGTCCTGAATCAAGCTGTTTGGAGTGCAAGTTTGGCCCAGATTCCCCTTTATTCTCTTCACTTCCTGTACACTTCTGGGCTAATTTTAGCAGCTCCTCTCCAGTTGTGAAGCCAACCAGGTAGTTAGAATCCATGTGCAGGATTTGATATCCCGCAACTGTCCGTCGCATTGGTGAGCAGGGGGTACTGGAACAGCGTGGCTTCTCTGCTTCCATCCTGCCCACAGGACTCACTTCTGCAAGAGGCATAGGAAGGGTGGATATGGTAGTTCTGGACTCCCCACTTATGTCAACTTCCATTTTAAACACAACGCTATCCTCCTAAAAATAAAACAGATCTTAATCAGAAATAGAGCTTTTATGCAACACAAGGACTTGAGAGAGGACTGCAGAAATGAGATTTTGTATTACCCAGAAGTTATGACTGATACTTTTCTATCCAGCCTTGCTTTATGTTCTACAGATTGATGGCAAAACTGACAACAGCTTTTTATCTTAGGTGTTTTTTTTACTAAAAGAAACCATAAATATGTTCCTGATATTCTCAAACATTAAAATTGTTCTTGAGTAGTACTGTACCCAAAAAAGAAGCTTCTTCCCACTCGATTCCTTATAGCCCCTCACTATAATAGCAATTTCTGTGTATTCAACTGTGTATTTTTGCTATTGACAATAGTTTCAGTAAACAGAGCTTTCTTTCCCTCATCCTATTTTTTTATTCACAATTAACCAAAAGCACGCACACTATTTTATTCTAATGTATTTCTAACACAGGAAACAGCATACTGGTGGTGTTTAATGAATAAAGCATAATATTCTTATAAACATCTTAAGAATAACCAGTCTTCCGAATCCTATGGTTTTCTATTTCTTTTGGAAACAGACTATTTTGCCAGGACCTCACAGCTTTGTACTTTCTCACAACTATTCCAAATACATTGTCTTGTGCCTTTACAGATACAACTGTCTGCCACAAAACATTACCACCTCTAAATGGGAAAGGTCAGGTCACTATCTCAGCAAGTATATACCAGTGGATACCAGAACACAGACAATGCTTAATTATTTTCCTTTTCTTGTTTTCAGCATCATCTACACCATTTCAGCGACATCACAGAAGAGTCATGGGGCAGTGCTGTCATGGAGCAGGATCATCACAGATAGAGCAGGGTTGACACAGACAGGTAGAGCGGGGTTGTCATACGACGCATGCTTGGTAACATCCTATATTGCCATGTCTGAAAAGACAGCTCTGCAGGTACTATTTTGAAACTATTAACCTAAATAATAACAAAATTATACTCAGCCTTTGACTAAGGACAGCTATTAGAAGAAAGATAGTGGTTAAAAAAAAGACCTACTCCAAGATATCAGGAAAAATAATCAATGCAGCTTAAGTTTTTTGGGTTTCTTTTTTAACTGAAGCACTTTAAATGACTAGTTCTTTGTCTCAATGCAATCTGCAGCAGGTATTTGGGTGTTTGAAGGAAAGGTGTCTCATTCACTAACACCATCCACATTGCTGACGGTCAAACTTACAAGAGTTATGCATATAATGGCATTAAAGTTGTGTTCTCTGCTGCTTTCTCAAATGCTCCTTCCCATACTTAAAATACTAAAATGAGTGTTTAAGTGTAACGCAACTACAGAATAAAAATTAATAAAAGCCAAACAGCACATGCAGGTACAGTAAAACTGAGTTAAATTTACAACTAGTGAGAACAGAAAACTTTGTTCTGGAATACTCAGTTCATGTGACTTTACCATAACATACTGCATTTGCATGTGATTATGCATGCCTCATGGCAAAGCCAACAGCATAAGGCTGGTCTAAAATGAGCAGATTATGAAGAAAGCCATACTACAAAGTAAGCACTGTTATGCAAGAACTTAATTTCAGCAACTGTGCTGCCACTGCCTTTGTTTCAACGACAGTGTGAGAATCACCCTCTTCTGTCTTCATTATTCTAACAAGTCTTTATTTTTTTCCCTTGAGGAAGAGTGCAAACACACCACGTCAGGCAGAATATGGTTCAAAATACACCAACAGCAGCAGGGTGGTGGGAGGAGCAGTTTTCAGTAATGGACGCGACTAGGAAAAAGGAAGAAGAATAGACTGGGAAACAGGAAAATGAATCAGTGCTGCTCACTTCTACTCCCTGTGGTAAAACAAAGCATCAAGTGTTCAGTCTTCACTACACTCCTGGAAATGCTCTAAGGACTCTTACTGTATTCAAGACAAGCTCTGTCAGAAGTCAGCCAACGACTGGCACAAGCATTGAATGCTCTTTCACACCACAGACTCTCCTCCATCACTCCCACTGAAGTCTGTGCAACTGCAGGCTTCTGCCATCAATTCATTTCCACATGTAGCTATACAAGTATGTGCAGTGGCTTATTGCCCCACTCTAGTAAGCACACTAACAAGGAAAGACAGAATCATGTTCATAGGAAATACCTACCAATGCACATAATTGGCTACTTCCTTTGAAACAGGTACATACAGACTCACACTTAGGCCAGCTAAATTCCCTATGTAAACCAGCATGCATAACTTACATAGAAAGAAGTTAGGACTCAAGACTGTTTTCCTATGCATCTGTAAACTACTCAAAACAGCACCCCGGCTGTTCAGAGACATTCCCCAGCTACCTTAATATGCAGAGACAAAACTGGCAAAACACACCTGCCAATAAACCAAAGCAGCTTAGGAAGCATCTTACTCAAGACAGTAACACTAATGCAGTCAATGTATATCATACATACTACAATCTCCATTTAAACAGAACCTTCAGCTTCTCTTTACCCTTCACTAAAAGCAAGATTTATTACAGAGAAATACAAAGCCAGCCCTACAAAGCTGGGCACTAGTTTGTTACCATCAGACAAGTGCAGTAATAGCATATTCACGTTTAGTACTTGCCTCAGAGTACCAAGAACGGCATGGCCACTGTTCGTGATTATAACCTGTAACTGAAAAGAGAGCTATGAACGACTGCGCACCCAGTTACTAGCGGCGCACCGTTACTAGCGGCTAGCACGGCAAGCACCCTTGAGCAGCCCCATTGCAGGCCCCGCATGACAATTCCACTAGCTTCCTTCTGCGGGCGGGTACCAGCGCGAACGCCCCGAGTCCCTCTTGGCCCTGCCCGAACAGCTCCACCACCGTCAACTTACCCGCACTGCCTCCTCAGCCGCTACCGACCAAGGGGCCCTGCGCCCCGCGAGGCGGGTAGAAAGGAGCTTTGCGCCAGGGCCTCCGCGCTGCGCTCGTGGGGGAAGCCCCTTCCCATGAGCCCTGCCGCGGCCGCGGACTCGCAGCCCAGTCGAGAACGGCCCCGCACCGCTACGCGGGGCGAGGAGAGGCGCCGCCACCCGCGGCAAGGCCGGGTCGGGCTGCTCCCCGTGACCCCCACCCCAGGCCCCGCTAAAGGTGCCGGCCGCACCGCTCACACCGTGGCGCCAGGGCCGGGCCGGCTCCCCCCCCCCGCCCTACGGGCACCGCTGGACGCACTCGCCGTCCCTGTTCAGGTGCCCGCTCCGTGAGGCGCGGACAGACCCGAGGCGCCAACCCCGCCTCCTACCTGCGGCGCGGACGGAGCAGGAGAGCACCTGGTGCCGCCCTTCACTTCCCGGCCCGGCCCGGCCCGGCCCACGCGCTGGGCTGAGGCAGGCCCCAACGGCAGCGACAGCCCCTCCTCTCCGAGGGCCGACCCCTCTCGGGTGGGACCGCCCCTCGCGTGATGGTGGCTGGGAGGAGGTGGCTGGGAGGAGGAGGCCGCGGTGGCGGTCGGGACGGGACGGAGCGGACCGGACGAGGGCCGTGAGGGGAACGGCTCAGAAGCAGAGTTTAGGATTGGTTGGGATGTCGGTGTTCACTGCTTTGTGAATGTTGTGGGTTTTCCTCATTTCTCTTGTAATACTTTCAAACTTATGGCGGTAGAATCAACACAGAATGGTTGAATGGTTTGGGCTGGATGGGGCCTTAAAACTCATCCAGTTCCAATCCCCTGCCACAGGCAGGGACACCTTCCACTAGAACCGGTTGCTCCAAGCCCCATCCAACCTGGCCTTGAACACTGCCAGGGATGGGGCAGCCACAGCTTCCTCTTCCTGGGCAACCTGTGCCAGCGCCTCAGCACCCTCACAGGGAAGAGCTGCCTAAGAGCTCATCTCAAACTACGTAATATCCAATATCTAATCTAACCCCCAGGAGCAGGACAGGGGCCTGGTGTCTCCACACACCTCTGTGTTTTCCTGTGCTTGGCTGGGGCCAGGGCTGCACTGGAAGAGGCAGGAGACTGTAGGTGTCTGGAGCAAGTGGTGGACATTGTCTACCTGAATTTGTCCAGGGTTTTTGATTCAGTGTCTCACAGCCTCCTCCTAGAGAAACTGACACATTACGGTGTTGACAAGTGGTCTGTATGGTGGTGGGGGAAATGGTGACAAGCAATACCCCAGGGGCAACCTGTTACTGGTGGGTCCCCCAAGGGTTGATATCCAACCAAATACTGTTCAGTATCTTCATAAGTGATCTGGATGATGAGATCAAATTGTAATCTGATGAAGTTTGCCAACGGTACCAAAGTGAGTGGGGAAGTGTGCACTTTGGAAGGGAGAGCCAACCTGCAGGTTGACCTAGATAGGCTGGAAGAGTGAGCTGACACGAACCTTATGAAGTTCAACAAGGTCAAATGTAGGATCTTGCAGATGGGTAAACATAATCCAGAAGTGAAGCACAGACTGCGACCTACTTGGGTGGGATTCATTTCTGTAGAAAGGGACATGGGGGTGTCCTGGTGGACAGAAAGCTCAATGGGAGTTAATGTGTGCACCTGCAGCAAAGAAAGCCAACAGGATTTTGGGGAACAAGGGCATCAGAGATAAGTCATTATCTCACTCTACTCAGCGTTTGTCAGTCTGTGCCTGGAATACCGTGTTCAGTTTTGGTCCCCACTGTACAAAAAAGATGTGGATAGGCTGAAGGGGGTCCAGAGAAGGGCCACTAAGATGATTAAAGGACTGGGAAGCCTGCTGTATGAGGAAAGGCTGAGAACTGGGTAGGTTCACTCTTGAGAAAAGAAGGCTCAGGGGAGACCTTGTTACCATGGTCCAGTATTTAAACACTGGCTACGAAGAGGATGGAGACTCCCTTTTTACAAGGAGTCATGTGGAAAAGATGAGGAGTAATGGGCACAAGTTAGTCCTGGGGAGATTCCAACTGGACATAAGAGGAAACGTTTTCACAATGAGAACAACCATCCATTGGAATAGTCTCTCCAGGGAACTGGTGGTTTCCCCAGCATTGGATACTTCTAAGATTCAGCTGTACAGGGTGCTAGGACATCTCATCTAGGTCATGTTTTGCCAATAAAGGTTGGACCAGATGATCCTTGAGGTCTCTTCCAACCTGGTGTTCACTGCTGCGCCTTGAGAGTTCAAGTCTTTATGGATCCCTGTGCAGAGGTGACTTTCTGGAGTGCCAGGCAGTGAGCCTTGTTGGCACAAATATCGTCTTAACAACCATTCCCCCCAGTCTGATACTCTCTGGTTTAATAGTCTCACATGTTTGTTCACTTTGCATGCAACTACAAGAAAGTAACAGTAATATCTCTTGGTGACTTTCTCTTCACTGAAATACCATCCATCTCTATCCATAACCTCTGTGGCATTTCCACATCTACAGAGTTTGGACACTGACTAGATACAAACCTTCAGTAATGGTTTTGCCAACAACCAGTTAGATCACTTCCCTGTTTTATTTTGCTTCTTGAAGATTGTGCAGAAGTGCTATTACTGCACTGAACTTTGCAAACAATTGCCTAACTTCCCTCCTGCAAGTAAAAATAAAAAGGAAGAGAAAGTGCAACATCATAGCCCCTGTTTTTTTCTTCTCTCAAGAATAGTTTATTGTGAGCTGAACCACACAGCTGGTATTTCTAATCCCCCTGCAGTAGAGTTGAGCCAGCTTTTGTTCCCGAGTCTTTAAAGACTCATTCTTAAATATATAGCTAAAGTTTATTACCTTCCTTGGAAATGTGTAGATGTCCTCTGTACACAGGCCATGCTCTGGCCTCCCTCTGGTCCTAGTGCCCCAGAAGGCTGCAGGTCACCTTGGTCCTGACCTGCAGTAAAGGGTGCCAGTATTAAGTATGCACCCACACTAGCCAGACTAGCTGCTCACTGTGCATCCAGTTGCACCCAGAATTTGCATTTCTTGGAGATTCTCAGCCAGAACAAGCAGAAACAAAGAACAAGGGTTGTTTAAGGAATTTTAACTACAGTCTCTTTAGCTCTGCAAGCCCTTGAGTTATTGGTTTTGCAAGTTCATTAAAGTGTTTTAAGAACTGAATTAGTAGGCCTGGTACAGAAAGTGGAGAATCTCCCCCCCACAACTTCTCCATGTTGTTGTTAACTGAGTTGTCAGTCAGTCTCTGAGATGGATTTTCAAGCTTGACCTTGACAGGGTGGAGGGACAGGCAGCAGTGGTGAGTAATTTCAGGAGGTAACAGATGCTTGGGGGGGGGGATATAATGTGTTCTAGGTAAGTAACCGGTTAAAACATACTAAAACATGGTTTACAGATTAGTGATTCCCCACTCACAAATTAGGTAACTTAAATTTAATGAACTGTAATAACAGCATTTAATAAACTGTAATAACATTTATTGCACTGACAGAATTAATGTGGTGCAAAATTGTCTTAAATTTCCATGCATCAAAAGAAAGGCAGATCCTGAAGACTTTTCCCAAATACACTATTCAGACACCACAACAAATATTTGAAAATAAGCCTAGATCTCCCTAAAACCATGTATGTTTTCCATGCAGTAAGTAATGTCATCAAGATTTTCCCAAAACTGACCACTGGATTTCACTATTTTTCGCTGTGCTTTTAAAGTCATGCAAGATGTTACATGCCTAACAAAGGTACTTTGAAGTGCTTGGAGTTTGTTTTCCCCAGTTAGGGTATGGTTAAGACTTTAGGGTTGCTGCAACACAGAGAGAAACAGAAACCATTACAGAATATTTTCCCTGCATCATAACCCTGACCAGAACATGAAGTTAATACATCTCATGATGGCTGTACTCATCAGTAGGTTCTTGCATTGTTGACAGTCATTAGAATGACAATATAGCTCAATTTTTAGGAAATATAATATTAAAATACACAGATTCTTTTTTTCTTCTTTAGCAAGATTTTATCAAAAGACTTATTTTCCTTGGTTTTATATATTCCAGGCTTTAACAGTGGAAACTGCTAGGATAATTTAAAGCATTAATGAAGTCATTAAATCACACGGGCTGAAAGCTGAGCAATTTAAACATTCTTTACTCAGTGCATTTAATTCCTCCATTTTGCGCACATGGATTTAATTCCAAAGCCTAATGAGACAAAAAAGATTTATTAAATACTCAGTTTCTTTTCCGTTATTATCTAATCCCTTACTAAGGATTAGAGCCATTATTCTGTAAATCTCTGTTTTACTGCAAATCCATAACTGCATTCAGAATAAAATATGAAGTATGCATTGGGGTGGATGTATGGCCCTGTATGGATATATGGTGGGTGTATGGGGTGAAGTAGTAGCATAACTTTCACACTGAGAAAAAAAAAATAAGACTGGAATATTTTTATGTTAAAATACATAAATTGCCATTCACCTTAGCAACTTTTGCCACCCAAACCAAACAGCTTAGTAATTTTTAAGATATCTTTAGAAGCGATTTGGCTAAATTAAAAGAAAATACAGTGAAAATTTATTTAAAACCTGAACAAAATGTCTGAAATAGACCATTTACTAAAATCCCACCTTTATTTTTTATATAGCAAGTTTAAAAGAAATAGTGAGTGCAGAAAGTATGCCTTAATTTTCTTTTTGGGCCAAATTCACTTTTTGCCTAATTAAGCTGATTTCAGTAGGAATTACAGCTACTTAAGCAAGGCTGAATCTGTGTCCAGATAGAGTGAGTAAGCACAGGAAAGAATATGAAAAAGATGATGGTTTTAGAGCTTTGTGTGTTGTGCAAATGTTCAGGTAGTACCAACTCTGATTCTGACCACCTGTTGTCAATGACTTTTGTCCCTTTTACTGAATAGAATGGAGATCTGTAAGTTTGGTGGAGAAAATAGCTTTGATGGTATTTCTATTCTACCTGGACATCAGGTTACATAGATCAAAAATGATGCACAGGAAGTGAATTTCTCAAGAACATGTTGGATAGAACATGCATCCAGGCGAAATAGCCTAAAATACCTCCCTTTTAGGCTATCTTGAGATACTCATGTAAAATATCAGAATTTCCTTTCTTTCACTTCTCATTTATCACTTGTTTAAAACCAAAGAATTTATCACTGTCAAACACACAATCCCTTTTAGATCAGAGCAATTATCACCAAATTAGGCTCTTTTAAGAGAATACACCACGAGATATAGTAATTTCCACACAGAAGTTTGTTTCCCTTTTCCAGCAACTTTATCATAGAAAAATATGCACTGATCTCAGTGTAGCTTGGATGAAGACAAAGAATAATTTCTAGTCAAGTTCAGTTTTGTTTCAGAAATTTGATTCTTCCACTGGTAGGACATCACATGAAAATTTGCAACTTTTAGAAATTTGGACTACAAGGGTCTTTCCCCACCCATGGCAGGGGGTTGGAACTAAGCAATTTTTCAAGCCCTTGCCAACTCCAACCATTCTTTGAATCTATGATTCAGCATATTACATTCATACATTATGTGGAATAGTGACAATTTTTTTCATCCATTCTTTCTTTTTTCCACGGCACGTACATGTTAGAAGTGTGTTTTTTGTATCAGTGCAGACTTCAAGCTTCTTGTAGGGTCTTTGCCACAATAGCTTCTATCTCGTATTTAGTGCATGCACCTCCTCAAAGGCCCAAATTTCATGCCACTTACACACACTTTGATCTCTTAACGTACTTTTCTACAGTGTGAACTGCAAACAGAATTTAGCATATTTGCATATTAATGCCTTATTTATAAGTTGTTTTCCACTGAGATGACTGAGTCAACTACCCTGTACTTCACATATAAACTTAAAAGAGAACAAAATGGAGAGAAGTTGCCAGTGATCTTGGTTTTATTTAGGAGCACATAAAAAAAAAGTTATGCCACAGCTTTGGTTGACTGGAATGATACGCATACTTAAATTTTTACAGTATTTTCTTAAAAATGGTAAACAAGTGTACATTCAGTTGTGTGTAAGACCAACACTGTCAATAACACAATTACATTACAGAAAATGAAATGTTTTAAGTATATAGCTGTGAAACCCTTCATATTTTTGGTATTTAACCAGCATTCTTAGAATTAGTCTGCTGAACCCATTTCACATGTGGTAAACACTGAAAAAACAGGCCCTGTGGCAAAGTAAGTGTAATTAAGAATTGCACTGGCTCTGGAAATGAGGAAGAGCCCTATTTAAAAATATTACTCAGAAGCTACAACTTGTGCAACTTACATGTGAAAGGAATTATATAACTTGCAGTTTATTACGTCCATTACTAATAACCAGCCACTTGAACTTACAAAAGTGGACAATATTTTCATACATTTGGGATAATTATAATAATTCAGTATTTTTTCATGCCACGGATAACAACAAGATCTGCTCAGACTGGATGATTACATAACCCAATAACTCAAAGTTCCGCTGACTTACTCCTGCTTCTCATAGCTCTTACATTTTTTTTTTTAAATGGGAGCTGTTGTTAACCACCTAGATTGCAAGGCAGAAGTATGAAAATCCCCAGGCCATGAGGAATCCTGAGTATTTTGCAACAGTAAGTACTGAGGTCTGTTACACCATAGTCTCTCTCTACTCTGAAGGGATGGTAACAGAGCATAGATGGAAGATTTACTATTTTTCATTATAAACTTACTAGAAGACCAGCTGTAACCATTTCTCTTTTTACAAAACCTGCTTTTTAATCAGTATTTTGCAGAAAGACATGGCAAAGCAGATAAAACTGTCTTTTTTAGTAAACAACAGAAGGACATGATAAAAACATATAAAAGACAGTTTTATCTGCTGGATGATATACAGGTACCCGTATACAAGCATGTATACTAAACAAGAAAAGAGAAAGTATATTTGAACGTTACAGGTCTGATGTAAACATAGAATAAAAATAAGGAGAGTGGAAAGTGACAACACATTAACGCACTCGATCATGCCTAATTATTGCAGCATATATGATATAAAATAAGTAAAATGCAGAAAACATCTGCTTGACTTCAAAACCAGACAAAACAGATCTCTTTGGAAACACAAATAAAAAAAAGCTTCTAGCAAAGATGTGTGTTACATTTCAGTCCGCAAAAGAAACTCAACAGGGAGATTATAAACTCCTGAAAATAGAAGTTTATAATGACAACAGGCAATGCCTTTATTACAGTGACATCAACAGAGCCACTGTAACACATACCACTGCATTGGTATTGTACAGGTTTACAGTAAATATTTGAAGACACTGAGAATGTTCATGTGCAGCATTTCCAGTAAAGGTGTGAAGTTCAAACTGATAAATAAACATTCTTGAAATGTTTTGAAAAATGAGAAAAGACATTTGACCTAAATATGTAGTGTGCACACTAGTTAACCATGTATAGCTTCTTAGGTGCACTTTGAACTACAGACATGACTAGCTTTTTAAATCTCAGTAATTTAGTTGAACTCACACTAAATTGTTTAAAAAGATGGTTCCAGTTTTGTCTTATCAACATCATTTCTTCTCAAAAAGAGTTTCACAACTAAGTTCCAGATCTAGCGAGGTCTCTTCAAGAGTTAGCCTAACATTAGGTACATGAACAGAAGATCCAGAGGAAGCTGTACAGATAAAGAAGAAAAGAGTTAGGTTTTACACCTAAGAATACCCATGCTGAAAAGCATCAAACCCAAGAAAAATATAAGTTACCTAACAGAGGAACATACACAAAGCCACAATGTATCTAATGAACCAGACATGCAATTGGATTTTGTTCTAGAGGCCCACTGGCCAGCACAAGCTTCCAAAAGCAGACAGTGTAGCCTGCCACTAGTATATTCATATTTAATATATATACAAGTGATTGTGTATATATATACAAGTGATTGAATACATCATTACGTTATTGGCAGCTTTAATCAGAACCTGCTTATAGAGCTCTATGGTAAATGCCCAGAAAACATCTTGGAAATTCAGGAATTTAAACAAATTTCCTGTTCTTGATTCACTTGGAGACAGCTGGAAATACTGTTGTACTTCAAAACAAAACAAAAAGCCATCCATTTTCAGGCCACAGAAATTCTCCCAGATACCTCAGAGGATAAAAGAAAGTAATTATTAACACAGTTTTACTACTACAACTAATTGTGCAACACTGTTAAGTTCTCTGTGACCCGTAAAGTGATCCAATTTACATATACACAGAATTTTAAGAAATACCTGCCCTAAGAAATTATGTAATATATATATATATATATATATATGAAAGAATCATACTGCTGGAAATAATTTAATCGAGTTAGACCACTGTGCCTCTGACAGAAGTTACTTACATAAGGTCAGTTTCTCTACCGCTTGCCTTTCAGGCAAAGTTTCAAGTGGTGTTGGTTGAATTTTTGCAGGGGTGTATGTATTTAAAGGAATTTTTCTTCCTGAAACTGGAATCATGTAAGTTGGAGAAGCTGAAAAGTGAAAAAAAAAAAAAAAAAGATACACATCATTAATAATGAAAATATTCTCACCTGAGCAAAATGTTTAAGATAGCAGCCACAGAACTGTTATCTGTCCACCCATACAGACGCTACAGTTACACACCCTGCAGCTCAGCCACCAATTTTTGACTCTAGGGTCAGAACTTCACAGCATGAAAGACAAATCTAAGTATCTCCATTTTAGCTCATAAAGTGACACAAGAAATTCATGCTGGTAAGGCAGCTAAGCTGAATTTCAGTACAGCTGGCAAAATCACAAGTGCTACTTCTCATATGTTGAGGGCCTGCACAGGAATAGGCATTTGGACTAAACTGGCATTTAAGTCCAAAATGCCTTTGAAAAGTGTATACAATACATTAGTCTCCAGTGAACTTCCAAATGTTATAGGAAAGAAGAAGGAGAGCAGAGCACTTATGGCCTCAATTCTATCAGGTCTAATTTCCAACCACTCCTTTGTAGAAATGTGACAACCAAACCACCGCAGAGGAATGAAGTATTTTTTTTGTCTTGTGCTCTCAACCACTTGGAAGAGACACAAGCTTCCTAACAAGTGTAACAAAGCATTTTAAATTTAAACTTCAAAATACCTGTAGGCCTCCCTGGTTTCTTTAACATCAGTTTTCTTAAATTGCTTACCTGTCTTCTCAGAAATAGGAGGCCTGATTAAAATCTAAAATGTATAAAACTAAAGTAACAGAAAAAACAAAACCTCTAACATCTAGACAGATAACCTTTTTATCAAAACTATCAAGTACAAATTTTCTGATCAAAATTCACAGTGGAAAGTCATCTTCCCAGACATGCACATGGGTAGAACTCAGTCTGCCTTTAATTTCAATATTACTTAAACATTAACCATACAGCACAAACTACTAAGAAACTAAGTGACTGCAAGGTGCACATCACAAGGTGAAACCCCATCTAATATTCCAAGAAACAGGAAATAACAGTTTTAGGATGTAAAAGGCTTGTAAAAGGCAACACTACTCTGCTAAGGTTAGTGACACTACAATGGTACAGTATAAAGCAGGAAATACTGTATTCTCACTAAGAAGCATTACTGCAATGCAGCTAACAGGGTGGACAGTACAGAGAAAGTCTTAATATGAGGAAATAAACCAATTATGATTTCATTAAACCCTTAATTTACTATTCCAGTCAACAGAGACATTAATTAATTATAACACTTATCCACGCCACAAAAAATTAAAATTATGGTTTATGCACATATTTTTTAAAGCAGTATTCTTAGTTTACTTGTTAGCTGTAAGATACTGGAAAGATTAAGCAATATTTAACAGTTTAAAAGGAACATAATTACAAACTAAAATCAGTACATGTCTCCTGTAGATTTTCCCTTGATGGAGCAGCAACAGAGGCAAGAAATTCATCCACCTGCTTCAGAGACAAGGAGTTGTGTAGGGTTTCCAAAGGGCAAATAGAAGGCACCATGGAATACAATTCAAAGCCTGAAGGAAATATAATAAAAAAAACAGATTTCCAAACATAAGACACAATTTAAGCTACTGCACAGGCAAGTATCAATGTACAATAAAAAGTACTTATTTTAAATCAGCACATGCAGACACAGTACTCTTGAAATCATGGACACTAAATTATAGGAGTTGGAACAAGATGTGCCAGTTTCCAGGACATACTAAAATAAAGCTACCATGTAACATAAAGTGGGATACAAATCTCATGTACACATGAAGTGTCTTCAAACATTACAACTGTGCTCCTCTCCCAAATCAGTTCAAAAAAGGTAACTTTCCTCTAAGACGGACTTAGTAAATTAGTAAGAAAAGAACAGGCAGGAAATGGCAGTAATTCTTCCACTCATTCTCGTATCTGGCACAGCACTAAATAGGTAACACATTCATGCAAGTAAAATAGGATGGCTGTGTTGTCAACTGTTAGCAGAAAAGAGCTAAAAAAGCTACAACTTCCAAAAAATGAATTTGTAGAATTCACGTTCTATCATCTTCAGTATTCTGTGAAAACAAACTGTTGCCTTCAGTATCAAAGGAAAACCACTGTTAGCACTTCTATACCTTGATGTTACATGTTTTAACTTTGTAAGATAGATTTACACCTACCTTTATCCATTTAAAAACAGTACTTAAAGGACTAGAAGTTTCATATATTAGAACAGGTAAGTATAGCAACCTAAAATCTAAAAACTTATTGGACTTCACTTTTCTAAATTAGTACTCATCATACAACAACCATGCATATCCATATTGCTAACATACTAAAAAAGTATTTAAACATTTCAGAAAAAAACCCTGAAGTTCTTTAAAGTGATGCAAGTTTGATAACTCAATGAATAACTCTTCATTCAACTGCATTTCATAACAGAAAAATATGCCCATTAGTGTTTTCAACATACAGCTGTAACATTACAGATTTGCAATTCAGCATTGTAAATTTACAGTTGCCACATTTCTTTTAAGATATTTAAATGAAGAAACAATTGTGAATGAAGTAATATTTAGAATTTCAGTTTAAAGCACATTTATTAGAGATAGCATTACAACTGTGAACTGTTCCCTCCCTAAAATTATAAGCATCAATATTCTTGTGATAACAAGTATTCCTCATTCACTTCCCATTTATGCTTTCCACAGAGGAGTAACTCAACAAAATTTCCACCCCCAAATGTCTATATTTATATTTGGATCCACACTGGCCATACTCAAATGTGAGGGACAGTCACTTTAAATATAAAATCAACTGAAGTGTAGTTATGAGAGGTTCACTTGTATTACAAATAAAAAGTTGCATTTCATGGAAGCTTGTTTTCATGTACGAAAGAAACACCACCATACACTTAATTTCTGTTTTTCTATAAAGGCAGTAGCTAAGCTTCAGTGTAAGCACTAAGATGTTTGGCATACATACTGATACCCTAAATAAGTAAGCATGCATGCAAAACGCAAACCCTTTCTTTGCATTATAGTAAAATGCAAGATTTCTCTTTACCCTTATAGAGAAGTCCCTATCATTTGAATGGGAAGTTATTTCTTCAATTTTGCAAAGAACGTAGTGGGATAATGTCAGATTAGCTTTTTAATAACTATTACTCTTATAGTGCAGGATTACAGAAAACCAGAAATTTCAAAATGCACCTATGCCCTTTAAGAAAAAAGAAGGGATGGGGGGGGGGGAATTTTCTTCTTTCAGGAATTTCCCCTCCACGGGTTTTCATTCAATTTTGACAATTCCAATTCTGCTATCAGACAGCAGCAGCAACAACATACCAGCATGTTTGTACCTTCACATCTAAATGATACGACTTAAAAGATACCCTGGAAATCTACCTGTGATGTTTTATTTGAATATTTTAAGATAAATGTTTTATGATCATGTATGAGAAATAAATTTGAATTTCAATGATCAGCTGCCTGACAGTATCCCTTTAAAAAAGCAATTTCCTGTAAAGTAACAGCCTTTGAGCTTTGGCTGTGTTTATTCTTAAAGCATTGTTCCTGTCAAAAGGCAAGACAATGAAAGGGTTAACGCTGCATCTCAAAAAGCCACCCTGCTATCTTACATTTAAAAGCTATAGAGACATACCACTGGAGCCTAGAAATTCCACAGAGGAAATGGACCAGCACCTAAAGAGGTGTGGGTGCTCTGCACAGAGGCCCAGAAAATAAGGTAAAGCACTGTCAGAAGATACTTGTTTCATCATGTTCCTTGAACTAAAGATGAGGGAAGTAGTCTGAAATGAGTTAAGAGGGTGTGATAATAACACAGAAATAAGAAAAAATGGAGTGAAAGGGATAAGGAGAACAAAAATGATAGTCCAGAGGACAGACAAAACAACATGAGTATGTTTTTATGTTAATAAGAACTCTTTGAAACCTGCAATATAATTAGGTTTCATGGGAGCTTACACAGCATGCATTAATCTTGTAAAAGATGTGTGGTAGAACTACTGTATTAAACTCATCAGAATAATCAATGCATTCATTACAAGCAATTTAGATCCTTTTTTTAAAGAAGGCAGTCACAAACAGTGCTTAATGGAACAGAAAGTAATCTTTACTAGACACGGATATTCAAATGCAGTTCTTACTTTCTGACTTTCGGATGTTTTGGAAATACTATTGAACTCAAATGGTTTGAGTCTAAAAATAAAAAATGGATTCCCATCTTTCTTATTGGAAATAGGATACTAGAACTGGCCTTTTAGATCAAACATAGTCTTAACTGTATTAATTCAGCGTTACCATAGCAGTTTCCCTTCAAGAAACACTGCAGTGCAAAAAGTCACTGTAAATTGCAAATGAACTTAATAAAAGGACTACTATGCCTCTCTGTAAAGCCAAACAAAAACCCAGTGTCTTTTTTTTTAATTTTGCTTCTAAAAGAATGTATTTTTAATCTAACATGAAAATACTGATGATTTCCACCGCAGTTTTAGTAATACCACTAACACTGTAGTCAGCCCGCAGTCATGCACACATTAAAACTGCCATAAAGAAATCTGGAAAAGCTACATTAAGATCTGGTGGATGCTGAAGACAAGAGTCTAGTTTTCATGAATGGGCCTATTTAATTGCATAGAAAGATAGGCACGAAATATTTTGCTGAGGAAGAGAAAGACATACCTCTGTCCTACATGTTCAATCAGACTTCTATTTGTAACTATGGTAGACTGAAGAGAAGTTGACTCTCACTCTTGAAGCACAAGAGGTCAATGTAAACAAGAGGCAGCTCTGTTGCTGTGATTTTTAGTGCTTAAATAATTTGTACATCTGATGAGCAGAGAAGTATGACAAGGTAAAGTAAATTTTTGATTGATGATAAATACAGCAATTTAGCAGGAATGGAACCAGAGCTTCTGCTTTAGCTTTTTAATTTATTACTATCTTCTTGAAGTGATGCCAAAACTCCAGTCGCCAATTCAGTGATTTACTTTAGAATCAGGAGACTCAGGGAAACAGCTCAGTGGGAGAAAGACAAAGAAGCAACAGCTATCAAGAAGTGTATGCCCAATAAAGATCAAGTTTAATCCTGTTTTTATCTTGTACCATATAGTCTGATCACACAAGAAATTGGGGGGAATAATTACAGAGATCATGATTAACAGCAGCTCTTCAGTTTTTTTAATGATTTTTTTAAGGAATGGTTTTTGATGTATTTATACTAATGAATGGTAAAGAAGGGATTTAGGGTAGCTAATGATTACAAATATATTTGGAGTTGTGCTGGAAGTTAGGAAAAACAGACAGCTGGATGATACTGTACACCCCATATTTGAAATAAAAGTAAAAGGGATGAAGCAAGGAAACTTTTGATTTTTTTTGTTTTTAAAATAAAAGCAAAACGTACCATTGGTTGGGTGTCGAGCAAATGAGATAGAAAACCTTTTAACAGCAGAACCGCGTGTGGTGTCTGAGAAAGAGAAAAACAGGTACCTGAAATTTGTAACAGCTACCAAAAGAGGGAGATTTCAAAAAAAGGAAAGGAAGAAGAAAAAAAGATGAGAAGGTATTAGAACTGAGTGGCATGCAGAAAGGACCAAGGAAAAGGGCTAAAATCTAAAAAGATGTTAAAAAGAAGAAAATTTGGATTGTTGGCAACTACAAGATGTGTAATGAAGTGTATGAAAACAAGCAGAATGAGCTGGTGATTCTGGCATACAAGGTTATATCAAGGTTAAAGTCGAACACTGAGTAGTGAATTGCGGGGAAAACAGCATGAATACTGGAATACTGTTTCACCTCAGACTTTTAAAGGTCTGCTTTGGCATCTTTACATTCTGAAATCTAATGAGAGTTTCTTTTCTACCCCAGATTATCCAAAACTGAAAATCTCCTGCTCCTCTGCAATCCAAACCCCACCAGAAAAAAAAGATCAGGAATCCTAAAATTTTCACCATCAGTATTTAACTTATCATTTCTTTCATTCCTTGTATATGCTCCAAGTAATTTCATTTCGAGATCAATAAGTAATCATAGAAACCAACGTTTAAAATAAGAATTTAAACCCCAAAATTTTAGTTTACTAAACGAAAAAATGCACTTGCTGAAATCTCCTGGCACACATTACAAGTCTGTGGGCTAGTGTTTAATTCAAGGCAGAAACAAGAATTAACTATGCTATTAAGTTAAACATATGCACGCTGTGGGCAATAAAGAAGCAATAAAAACTCATACAATTAATACTAAGGCAAAAGATTCTAGGATTCCATTAAAATCTTTAGAAGTTCAATATGGCACATGGGTTTGTGCGTGCATGTGCGAGAGTGTGCACATACCATCTATGAAGCCAGAAGAAGTCAGCTTTTTACGATGAGTACGAGCATAATCCTGTAGGTTAGGTGCACTTGAAGAACCCCCGAGCACTGAGGTGCTAAACAGGCCCGCACAGTGAGACCCTGATGGGAGTTAGAGAAAATACATACAACAACCAGGTGTTTGTCCATTCACATTGGGGATGCATGCAGCATGCAAGGACATGGCTCTTACCACACAAAAGGCAGCTTTTTGGCAGTGCCTTGGACAGGTTCACAATATGCTTGTAATGTCAGAGTGGTACTTGTAGGCTGAAACTATCTTAATTTATTGTGCTTCTACCCATGACACAGCACTCTCTGCTATATGCAAAAAGAGAGGACTGGCTTTAACAAAGTGAGTTCTTGTTCTGTTTTCACTTTTGGTAAAGAAGAGTTACCAGTTAGCATCAATTGAAAAACTAACCAAAACAACAAAAGAATAAACAAGATGATGATGGTAATGATGATGATAATGTGAAAGTTGTTGTGGTTTTAAGAGCTGCAGTTCTGAAACAAATATAAACTGGAAAAATACTGCTCATTGCATTCATCCAAATCAACCTTTGAGATGACAGGCTGCAATGAAGTCCTTATGCATTTCCACAGACTTAATATGGAAATGTTTCCCTTCTACCCCCTGCAAAATGTTAACCAATTTGGAAATACTCTATTCATATTTCAGCTGCCATCACTGACAATGCTGCAAACTGAAAATACCTAGAAGCTGATCACGTTTAGCTTGACTTCTTTTCCCATGAAGACTTGCATACATCTCCATGCAAGTGAGAGTACTTTTGTTACAACTCATACATTCCTGCCACTAGGATGGGAGTTTTAACAAATCACTGAAGGACATAGACAGAAATATAAAAATAACTTTTACAGTCAACAGCCATAAATGAAATCTACCTAAAACGATGCTCAAAATGAAAAAAAAATGTTGCAACTTTTTTCCTTCAGCTTTTACTGCTAGTTGAAAGAAGTAGTTTTTCACTCAGAACTTATCTTTTACAGTTTAATAAGTAGCAGCAGATTTTTTTTGAAAACCAACTATCTACCCAGTGATACTTCCTTTCACTACTTTTAATGAGGAGAAACATTACTAGCACATGTGACCAATCACAGCCAAATAAACTGGCACCTCATCTGTGGCAAAAGCCTTCCACACCAAATATATACCTTAATCTATGCACAGAAATACATCAACTTCCACAAGCCATACTGTGTCACACATTGGCAAAAGAAAAGTTGTTTAATTGTAGCAAGCACATAACAGAGAACGTGAAAAATATAATGAAAATCTACATGAAAAATATAATAGGGAGAAAAGTATCACAATGATTAGATGTACAAAAAATACAGATCTTTACAAAGAAATGAAAAAATACTTCTAAGTTTATGTATATAGCTTATGCTTTTTCTACACTTCATTTTTCCCATTAAAAGACACTTGCAGAAAAAAATGCAATATTGATTTACAGTAGTGCATGATTTCATATTTTTGCATGAGTCATATATATGCCTATTTCAAAGAAGCAAGAGAAAATCACCACTTGAATTAAAAAAATTTTAAACAAATAATTCACTTATAGCAAGATTCATTCTTATGCTGAAAGGAAGAAATTGATTTTAGGAGAGGAAATGTATGCGCCCTCCTAGCCCCTCTCCCTGCCCTGATATTATCAAGAACCTTGACATTTCTTCCCCATCCCCTCCCCTGAATCAAACACCTTCAATCCATCAATTACCCACAGTAGGAAACATTAGTGTTCAAGAAAAGTGTTTTAACTGCTTCCAGTGCAGGCCATTTCTATCCAAAAGATTCTTGCAAAACCCCCAAAATTATCCTGTGTATCTGTTGCGAGTAGTACAGTCAGCAGTGTGAACAGTGTCAATCAATTTGCTCTTTTCAGTTATAGTTTTTTATAAAAAACTTGCTGCAGAAAAAAAACGTCCAGTTCATAGGCAGACACTCAGCATATAACAAATACTATTAGGTCCTGTTAACAAAAATGCTGTTCAAAGAATGTACAACTGTACAGAACAACAGGCAGATGAAAAGCTGCTAATACCGAACAAACTTCAATTGTAGGCACATACCTAGACCGCTCTCTCGCTTTTGTTCCAGAATAGTTCTTGGTGTTCGCAAGTTACTACTGCTTTCTGATAAGACCTGCGCATAAAAAACAGAAAAATAAGGGAAAGTAGAACAGCAGTATGAAATATCCATTTAACTTGATACAGCAGCCTGTTTCAGACAGACAAGTGAAGTGTTTGTTAATAAGCTGTATGATAAGTATTAGTAAAAATATGTAAAGGAAACATGAAGGATCATGCAATGTGCCCTTCTGAAGGGAGTCCATTTCACATGAGTTCCTTGCAATGAAGTGGTGCAAAGCAAGCATTCAGAATGAGGAAAGGACACAGACCAAAACCAATATGAGAACAGACATTTGAGACGTTTTATTTCATTTTACCAAAAGCACTCTCCTAAACTGCGCCTGTATTGAAAAAAGGAGGGGAGGGAAAGAAAGACAGACAAGCCATTGAGGACACCATACAATCACTGATCCATGCATGGGCTCAATCAGTGTAATCTTCAGACGCCCACAGCCTTTACTGATACAAACTTTTCCTTTGTAAATAATTTTAGAATTTTCCACAATAAAAAGAAATTATGAAATTTTCCAAAGAAAAAGGATATGTTTTACAGAACACCATCCACTGCATACACGTAAACAATACATTGACATACTAAACTTTAGATCTTCACTGATACTTGAAAAACATTGAAGTTTCTCATTTTCCTGCCTTTCCCACCCAGGCATTTAGAAAAAAGATCTTCAAAATATTGTTCAAGTCAATGGATGATGTACTGCATTGGGAGTTTCAGATACCTCCGGATACAGACGGCAAGAATTATTAGTGCTACAGTTTTTTCCCTGCAATAGTTAATACCAGGCCACTGAAAATATGATATATGCAAAACAAGTTTTGAATAGCAACATGATGTACCAAAGTATTTTAAATGGTATTGGTTGCAATTATTAAAAAAAATTATTTTCAATTTACCTACCACCAAATTAAGCAATGCTGTTTTTAAAGTCTTAAAGGACAACTAAACCAAAGCAGAAATCCGTTTCATTAGGCAGTAGACTAAGTCTTTTTTTACTGTGGTAACATTTGCCATTCCTATAAAGAAACCAAATTTTTAGGAAAACGTGTAACACATTCAGTGGAAAAACATGCACTTGCTCTTTTTCCCCCAAACATTCTCAGAAGTTTAAGAAGTGGAAGAATTTGCTTCAAACGTAATCCATAACAAGGGATTAGATGTCCTTAAAGACAGTTGGTTGTTGCTTGTTAAACATAATAATGTTTAATGAAGTAAAGTTTAAAAACCTGTTGCCATGAGCCAAAAATACTGGATGTGAAAGCCAATGATTTAGGGGAGACAGGGGAAGAAGTGATTTGTTCCCCTGATCTGCGTCTTCGACGCCCAGTACCCACACCACTGGTGTAATGCAGCCAGGTACCAATACACTCTGGGCTAGACACACTCAGGGGGCTCTCTTCCTGGAAGTGAGAAAGGGGGCAAAAAACAGCAAAGCATGCAAAGTTAGATTCAACAGAGCCAAATGAACAGAAAAGAAAAAAAAAACAATTTGCTTGCACCCTTTTATATACTGCTTTGAAAACTATTAAACAGCGAATAGGGAAGAGTACTATTACAGTATTAGGAAGCTATCAGTTCTACTTATGCATTTTCATCCAATTATATCTTTTAATGCAACCTTTATATCAAATTTCTGGTAGACTGATTATTAGATATGAGAGAAAAGTAACTGTTATAAGTACGTGATTCAGACTTTTAAGAATTTCCCACGTTGGAAACAGAACATCTGTTATCCTTGACATACTGTTTAACAGTATTCCCCCCCTTCTAAGTACATTAAACTTTCCTATTTATTATTTAATAGTTTTCATTTTTAATCTATAACCTTATCTAGGAGATTTTGATTTTCAGCATTGGCTCTGAGACTCTACAGCTGACCCACTAGTAGCAGTGCCAACCTGACTAGTAGTTTTCCAACATTAAAAGAGCCCTAAAAATTATCTGATGGTGGATGCCTGTTGAAACTCCACGGGAGGACATTGTCAGGCTGAGTCCCCCATGCCCTACGTCACTATGTGTTGTTAGCAATCAACATTATAGCAATACAGAATTCAATTTCCAATGCTGAACAAGCCTTACTCTCGTTTTTCTGTTACAACTGTGGTCTGTTTTCATGAATCAACCCCAGCTGCAGTCCTTCTGTAAATATTGTTGACTATACCCCTGATGAAAACTTCCATACAATCTCACACCTGACAGTGTCCTTTCAAATTAACAGACATAGATGAAGAGAGAATTGTCTGGTAGTAAAAAAACAAAACAAAACAAAAACAAGCCAAAAGGTTCAAGGCAGTTGAAGCTGCAATGGCTTTTTTTTAAACACTCCAAAATACCATTTGGTTTAAATATTTCAAATACAGGTTTTGCAGATTTCAGTAGGCCAGATGAAACTTCCAGTTTTACTTTTTTTCAAAACTAGTTTCTTAGTTTTTTATTTATATCTTCTCTTTTCTTCTGGCAAGTAAACAAGCATTGAATGCTGAAACATATTCCATCTGAACATGTATTATCTGAGCAGTCAAAATTTAGCAGTTTATGTTATTAGCACCTTCTGAAATTAACTTTTATATAATTTATAAAAATGGTTAAAAGTTTGAAGTTACAGACTATTAAGTTGTGTGTATGTGAACTCGTAACGAGGAGGGGAGTTTGCATGATCATAGTGAAAATAGCTTTTAAAAATCCAAGATACTGATGTTGTGAGCATCACAACTTGGAAATAGAAAATGTAAGACATTCACATTTATTATCTCTGTTAATTTATGGAAGTCATGTGAGTTATACATATATCCTTACAGAAGGGAATCATGCATCTTTTTCTCTCCACATTACCAATAACCAAGTTACTTGCAAATTTCTAATGCTTTCATTGCATACAAAGAGCCCATTCCCAACACAAACATGGAAGGAAAAGCTTTTGGTATGAATTTTCATTTCTGATGGTTTTAAGCAACTGCGAATGAGGTAATAAGAAACTGTTAGTCTGCTTCTAGCATTATTATCGAAGAGGTGCCACTATGCACCATGTGAAGCTTTGCTGCTCAATGTACAAATGGCACTGGTGATACTGCCATATGTCCCTGCACCTCTGTGACATTAAGGCCATAACTGTGAAGCACATCTAGATGTTATGGCCTTCAGGACAGGAATTTAGACTGTTCAAGATGTTATCTAAAGAATTTATAACACGCAAACCCCACCCACTTAAAAAAAAAATAAACAACCACCTTCCAGTTTATTATCTTACCTTATTCTTGACAAGTGGAGTCACTTTCACCCCACATGAAAACAAATACAGCACACAACATGTCTCACCTCCTGCACCTCCCCTACCACCCCCAATCCCTTTGATTTCCCTTTCAGCATGATCAGCCTAAAATTTTGCTTATTCCTAATAGCAGCTGCCTTGGAAGGATGAATACAAAAGCAATGTATGTTAGTCTGAAGATGTAGACTGACAAGTCTTCTTTTTCACATGCCAAATCTTCTAAAATGGCTTAAAAAGAAAAAAAAGGAATAAATCTTACTGCAAACCGGTAATTTATTTTAAAAAATCTGTCATAAAAATTACTGCCATGGAGGATTTCCCTTAGAATAAGAGCAACCCTTTTGTGAGAAAACATAATACTGGTTCTGTGTAATCAAAATCAGAACTACATTTGGTTTTGTACTGTTAAAAATAAGCAAAAGTTAATTTCTGTGAAAGATATTATCTGGAACATAAACACTTACTTCAACAGAACCAATCTTCCTGGATCTTGGAAGGGGTGACTTTCTGTGTATGTGAATGGGGTCTGATACCATTGGCTTGAACATCATGACTGACCGATCTACTTCATCTCTTTTAGGAGCATGTACCTCCTCATCGCTATCGTTTTTATGAGAGGTTTTCTTCAAGCCTTCATTCTACAACCAATATAGAAATAATTTTCAATTTAGTTGTACAATTTGCAACATGTAGACACAAGTGGCTGTTAAATTAATCTTCTGCATAAACATAAAGCAAGCAGATTTAAAAAATACAGGTTGTAAATTATTTACTATTGAACAAATTGTTCTAGACTTTAATAATCTGTATTTGCTCCTAACCAGCCACTACCTATGATAGTGTGGTCCTAATTAACCTCACCGTTCAGACAACATATTTTACTCCAACATTCTGTTGGCCTAGTAATAAAATGAAGAATTCCAGCTCAGTTTTCCTTTCAATCATGTCTCAAAAAGTAGGCGGTAACTACAGACTTTCCCATACATCTCTGAAAATATAAATCCTTTCTCAACAATCTGAATTCATAACATGCCAAACTACCTTATTGTGTTAAATATTCCTTTTAGTGACCAGAGTATCAGCTGGTGTGATGCTGATGTTGGCATTGCTTTTCTTACAATGTGTATTTTGTATTTCTAACATGAATTCTGGCAAAGCCATGGAAGGTCCAAATTACCAGTGTCCATTACCTCAGTGTATTTTCAACATGCAGTAATACACTGGGACTGCCTACATTTTATTGATATTTTTCTACCAAAATACGTATTTGCATTTCACCTAACAATCTCCCAATGTTTATTTTAGGTATGTCTGCATCCAGAAAAGCTAACTTTTGCTTTAAAGAATGTGTAACTGTTACCTCTCTGGAGGCAGGTCTGTATCCATATCCAGCTGGTAAATTTTTATCTTCCTCACAGCCTTTGGCTCCTGGACTGAAGTGCAGCTCTACATGAAAACGTTCTTCCGAAGATAGTTCCTGAAGGAAAATGATTAAATAGGTTTACAGTTTAATACTTAGCTTAGCACTACTTGTTTTTGAAGATATTTATCCATTTTAAATACCTTGTTTGGATCTTCATAAAGCATGATAACAATCTGTGTCATGTAATTGAGTTCATTGACAACATTTAAATAATCCATAGCTCGTTTCCACTGTTCATCTTTTGATTCCTTATGAAGGAAGGAAAAAATATTAACAAATAAAAACCAGCTATTTTCTTTAAGAAGACTGATTTCCCTTTTCCCCCATTTACATGGATTTTACATTCACAGCAGAAGTATGAAGCTTTTCACAGCTAAGATTTAAAAAAAAAAAAGAGATACAACCAGGGGACGAAAACACCAAACAGACAAATAAGCAGGAACGTAAAATTACTCATCAAATGAAAAGTGGAAGTCAGAACTTCTTGTATTTTACTTCAGTGTATCTTTCACGTTCTTTTGCCAATGATGATATATGTCTTGTAGACAGAGGCACTGTTTTAAACTCTCCTGATGTGAATTGTTAATTTTGCAATAAATTTATTTCAACTAGTATATTGTAGAAAATGTTTCTAGATATCACTCTACCAAACAGAGTAAATGAAACCTTTTAGTATATAAAACATCCTAAGTTAAATAAAATGAATATTCACCTTTTTCATACTCTAGAAAAAATATATTTAATAATTAACTTTAAAGAAAACTTAAAAAGTTTATCAGTCTAAAACTAGGAGTTTATCTGTTGTAACATATGTCACAGAGGTCTGGGATTAAAAATGCTTTTGCCATTAGTGAGTTCAGTCATCCATTACCAGAAGCAAGTATGTCAATAGAACCACTTCAGAAGTTAGTATGTTAATCAAGCTTTATTTTAGAAGCAACTGTTTAGGCTTTGTGGTGCTGCACTTATCCTCTCCAAGATTTCAGTTAGGTTATTTCTGAATCTGGAGACCTTGTCTGTTTTAGTCCTTGTTTTCAAAGCCAATCATAATGCACCACCTTCAAGGTATTCTACAACAGCATAGGAAAGTAAGACAACCTACTTAACAGCAGAAACTTTGCACTACATTGAGCATTATTTAAGTCAAGTAGGGAGGTCTTGACAATATTCCAGTGGTCAAAAAGAATAAGCCAGTTCAAGAGTGATTTCAAGAGAACCCTGAATGATAACTTGAAGGAAGTAACTGGAAGAATTATAGGTGCCAATATAAGACAAAAAAAAAAAAAAAAAGCATTATCTGCCCTTTTCAAATCTCTTTGCGACCATAACATACACAGCCAATGGAACTCAGCATTACTTAAAGGACATGCTGATTTCCACCAATGTGCATATCAGCAATCTGAAATGTCTCTGCATATATAAAAAATAAAATGTTTGAAAAAGTGTGATAAATTTTGAAAGCACTTAAGAAAATTAAGCTTTCAGGGGATACAATCTTAGTAAGATTGAGTCCTTTTGTTTCCTCTCAAAATGTTAGAGATTTAACAGAAAAAAAATGCTCAACTTACATCACATAAGGCACCGTAACGAAGGGTGGATAACAGGGAGTGGACATGACTCTCGCTGGTGAAATACAGCCGTGTACGAACATGGCGTTCAGGGGACATAACACCCCTGGAATAACTTGAAAATAAAAAGAATCTTGTTAGACCATACCAAGATGTGTCCCTGTTTTAGAAATAGCTGTCCACAAATAAACTGTGCTTCTTAAATTATGAACTGGTAAGACACTTCAAATATAAAAGCTACAGAGTATCTACATCAACTCTTGCATAAACTAATGTAACCATGTAAAAAAAAAAAAAACTTACAGAGGGTGAAGCTTATTTACAGTATCATCATCTTGAGTTCTCTGAAGGTCAGAACGGATTTTTCTGACTAGAGGAGTGCAGTAACCTTTGGCAATCTCTAGTTTCTCAGCCTTAGAAATGCCGTATTCCTGTAAGAATGTAAGAACAAACTGACTTTTAAAATTCAGTTAAAGATTAAAATGCCTTTCCTGCTCAAAGGCTTGTGTAATAAATTTGATTAGTCATCTACTTGCCCTGGCTGCAAACTGTTTTGCTTAACATTTTTATTACACTTGATTAGTGACACCCCTTCAAGTAACAAGCAGTTTGCCTTTTTGCTGTTTGATTTGACACTTTTTTTACTAAGACACAGAAACAGGTTTTTCATTCACTAGTTAAAACCACAAAAGTGGATTCACTTTCTGGTATGATGGCACTCTCTTAAACAGAACGTCTAGGGAATTATTCCTCCTCCCTGTGAGCTTCATGCTCTGTGCTGCACATAATATGAAAGTGCTCACAGAATTTTGATTGATCTTCTGGTTACCCTAGAAGGCAAAAGAAGTACTTTCCCTTTGCATTTTGTAGGCTTATTAAGTTTTTTTCTGTTTTTCTTTCTTCACTATGTCCTCATTTTTACCCACTCCAACACTCTATTCAAAATTTAAGCTTAGCAGGCCTGCGTAACACAACACATTCTTTACTGCATTATTTTTTTTGTCCTCTTTGCTGTCAGGGAGCTTGAGAGATGGGGGAGCTCGAGAGATGAGGAGAGGAAGAAGTTCCCTCACTTGCTCTGTAAAAGCTGTGTAAAACTTGGATAATATCTCTCTTATAACAGTGCTCTGTAACTACAGGGGCACCTGGGGAAAGCTTTAGTCTGTTCTATCCTATTATCACAAAACAATTCTATGTCCTGCAGCCTACAACGTTTTAGAGATAATCTCCGTTTAACAGCCTGTAGTATATGGAAGTTTAACTGGCCTGCTTCTGGCCGGAAATTCTAGGAAAATTAATGTGCACGCTTTTATCAAGGAGTGTTACCATTCTGAAGCAGCAGAATGGCCTTTTAAAATTCAAATTACTTAAAACAAAGTGAAATTAGATTAGGATTAACTCATTTGCAAAGAGTCTTGAAATTTCTAAAAGCAGAAAGAATGAAATTAAATGTATTTTCAGAATACACTATTGTTCACAAGGACAGCACTTAAGTCTATGAAGAATGGCTCAGATGAACCACTTTCTTCTAATACACTGCATTAAAAGAGGCCAACATTTTCAGAGCTAAAATTGCTAAGAAAAAAAGAAAACCACTTTGAGCACACCTTGTGAATTATGAATCAGATCTGTCTTAGAAAAATAATCAGCTTGCTAGCAGAAAATAAGAGATAATGTTAAAGGCTTCTATTACTGCAACATACAGGAAACTTCAATACAAAAGAGAGAGCAGACATTTTCACAAAATTTGAAAAAGCATTTACTCTGCAATTTATTTTATTTAATAACTGAAAATGCTTACCTGAGGGATCACGATGTCAGCCAAAGCCTTTGAAAGCCTGTATAATTCCATTGTGTTTTCTAATTTCAATGAGCCATTGTGCTGCACATCATATTTTATACAGTCATAAATATCAGGAATTTTGCTAATATCATATCTTCCATTTTTTGTTTTAAAGTCTTTTTCGAGCTTGGACCACCTGCGCAGCATTAGTTCTAGTGTCTCACTGTGGTACAGCTGAATATCTGCACAGACACATATCTCATAATTAAAGGCCATCAAACAAAAGGGAAATTTTAATCATGTTAGTTATAGTTGAATACAGAGGGATAAAAAGGATCAAATATGTTTTTTAGCAGAGGGAACAGATGTGCATATAGTTCATTTTTACTGCTGAAAGCATCACAGTCGCATGGCTACATCAAGATAGTGGAAAGTTTATCTGCAGAAGTGCACCACTGGCCCTTTAAGCAAAGCTTACAGCACAAATAGCATGTCCTACAGCACAGATAACATATATATATATTAAAAAGCAACCACAAAAAGTTGTAAGAAAATTTTGGGAGGGAGGAAAAGGAGCAAGACAATGTCTCTGTTTAATAACAGATCATGCATCCCATTTGTTTGTCCCTCCTGCGTGTGGTAACAGCAAAAGTCAAGAGAAGGTAAAAAGAACGGATTATCTCCATCCCAGGGCAGAGGATTAGATCAAATAGCCAAAACCCACTGATGCTATGCTTAGGTGACACTTGTCCTGCTCAGCCTCAGAACAGAAGTTGTTTGCATACTATACACTGCAGATAACACTGGCTGCAAATACTCCAGTACTTAGCTAGTACCAAAAAAGCACTGTGGTCACTTCCAGCTCTGGTCTTCCTGCATCACATTTTACTGCATCACATTATTGCCTGGTTCACCACACTTTATATTGAGCATCATTCTATGCAATACTACCATGCATCATACATCAAGCAACATATTTTCAGCAAAGATATTTAAATATAAAAATGTACCCATACAACTTAGCTTTAGTACCATCTACTTTTTTTTTTGTGGACTGCTGAGTTTCAAATAATTAAGACAAGAATTTCTGCAAACATTTGAGGACTAGCTTGAACTTCTGAGCAGCACAAAGAGCCCTTACCTGCAATGAGATCACATGTTCCTCCTGCTTTTTACTTTAAAATGGTGCATATGGAATCAGACTGAAAATCCCTATGCCATTGTTGATTAAGGTTCTGCTAAGAGCAAGTTTAATTATGAAAAGTTATGTTACAATTCTCTCAGGTGTAAGCAAGAGAAACTAAATACAAGTACAAAAATGTTTAAGTACCTGCAGACTTTGGATCTTCCATTCTTTGCCTGATTTGAGAAGTCAGACTCTGGATCAAGGAATAGACCGTGTCACATGTCTTTACAGGATTTTTAATAAGCTGCATCGATTTAATCAGTGAGATGCTTCCAGATGGAGTAAGCTGCAATTTCAGATAAACACAAAATGATGTAAACAAACTATCTAGATTTGAAAGAACTGGGGAGATAAGATGGAATATACTAAAGATTCCAAGTACTGGAGAAAAAGTATTCAAGCAAGTTGCTGTTAATTTCTGAACCCGTCTCTGAATTATCTACTCCCTTTAAGGCATTAAGAAAACAAACACAAGCACAAACAAAAAGAAACCCTTTAAATTTACATATACCAAGAACATATGATACATCTCTCAGAACTGACTCAAATTTTAGAAATTTTAGAGCTATCAAGTTGGGCGTTACCAAAACAATACAGATAATATCCACATGTAAGTGAGGCTTAGCCTCATTTTTGAAGAAAAGTCTGCATAAACCAAAGCAAGAAAACAATTATAGTAAACAATAATTAATATACATAACACAAATACATATCTGCACTTACCTCTGTTTCCTCAAATGCACAGGATAATTTGGATATGGAAAACTTCTGCTCTCTACCTAATAGTAACTAGTTCCTACCGCCCTATTATGACCAAGTAAATAAATGGGAAAGGTGCTGTGGCACAGAAAAAGAAAATAAAAATACCAAAAAACCCCTGTTTTCACAAATTTCAAGTAAGTTAAAAAAAAAAAATTATCACTTCATAATCCCAGAAACAAGAAAACAATTATAGTAAACAATAATTAATATACATAACACAAATACATATCTGCACTTACCTCTGTTTCCTCAAATGCACAGGATAATTTGGATATGGAAAACTTCTGCTCTCTACCTAATAGTAACTAGTTCCTACCGCCCTATTATGACCAAGTAAATAAATGGGAAAGGTGCTGTGGCACAGAAAAAGAAAATAAAAATACCAAAAAACCCCTGTTTTCACAAATTTCAAGTAAGTTAAAAAAAAAATATCACTTCATAATCCCGGAGGTTAGTTACTTTCAGTAACTGTCTTTGAAGAGTATGCTCTATTCATTCCAGTGACATTTCAAACCCCCTTATATTTATACAGCAAAAAGAACGGGAGAAATAAATAAATCCTTGAAAACCCATACCCTTTCACTTTTTCCAAGTACTGCTGAATCCACTGCTGGCAGTGGTTTGGATGATACTTTTCATACACATGTTTAAACAAATCCACATACAGTTTACATGGAAGATAGTAAAATTATTTTTCAGTAACTGGGTCTCAATACATTTTCAGAAATAGCAGTTTAAGCTTAAACCTCATTTGAGGACTTGTATTTCGTTATTATACCAGACAGAGTAAGAGCAGCTGAAAGAAAGAGAAGTTTCTTAACATAACAAACATTACTCACGTTTAAAACCAAGAACAATCATGTTCTGCACTAAGTCAGAATAAACTCTATTAATTTGCACTAATTTAGCACATTAATTAGACATCTTCTTTCACTGATTATAAAGTGTCCTACTGGTTTTCAGCATCTTAGTATTCCTTGAGTTAAAAAAAAGGCTTTGTAGCAGATTAAACATTGAAACAACTGCAGTAGCCAGGCATTAATATATTTTGTAATACCACACACTGTCGAAGTAAAAACAACAGAAAGTGAAAATATAGTCTTGTTTCTTGAATAATTAAAATATTTTTAAAGGAAAAAATAGGTTTTAATAATTATTTTAATGAAAAATATTTATGAATGAGGTCTCTATCTACTCCTATTTAAAAGTTTGCAGCTATTACTCAAATGGCAAAACAGCTCAAAATATCTAATATCACAATCGGTACAGCTTCCTTTGTAGTTCAAACTATTTCCAAGCACACAAGTATTTTTTCAAAATAGATACAAAATATCACTGCTCATTACTTTCACACAAGAATTCGCATGGCCATGCTAACCTTATCATAGTCATCAGCAGTAAATTCTCTGTCTCTCTGGAGAATTTCATGGAGTCTTGCTTTAACACGATGCTGACAGCTGCTTAAAGAATCACTGTCACTGTCCAGCAGACCATTCATATTAGCACTTTTTACCATCTGGACAAGAATAGGAGTCAGCTCTCCCTCTAGGGCCAGCAGTCCCTGAAGCAAGTAATACAATTAATCAGGCAAACAGATGAAAATGAAAATGTAACAGTATCTTAAAAATCCACCAGATTTAAATTCAAGATTATCTAACCCATAGGCATGTGATACAAACAGGGACTTGGCAGATAATGCAGATTATTTGCATAGAAATGCCCCCCAAAACACTGCTTTGCTGTGCAGGATTGCTACAGTTGGTGAAACAGTGATGGTGACATGTCATAAAACATGCTCCCCAGCATATCAGCAGTGCCAACACTCTTTCTGCGAGATGACAGCTGTTCAGGTTGCTGGATGTACATGGTGCCTTCTCCCTGAGGCTGGGAGCAGCAGCAGCCTGACCTGTGGGGGACCTGCTCTTGCTCAAGGTATTGAGTCACCAGGTAGGAGCTATCAGAAGAGTCAGCCACCTGAACAGCATCTGGGAGGATAAATGGGAGACAGACAGGGTTTTTGCAGAGACCCTACAAAGAGAAAACGCCAAACTTGGTGTGGCACAGAAAGACAATCAAAGGCTGAGTTGAACAAGAGGTGAACGGAGACTTCCAAAATGGAGAAGGCTGGAAACTTCTGTGACTTTTCTGGCAACAGAAGGGCTCTGGGATAATGAAGGAAATGCGGTGGTATCTGCTCAAGCCTGCTGACCACTGAGAAAGCAGGACAGATGGCTGGAATACTTTTGCGCCAACACATGCAGCATGAAAACAGAAAGAAAGAAGTCTGAACACTGGCAGACCTTTAAATTTATTCAGATTACAGACATGTGGTTGGATAGTTAACACGAACAGAGTTTTGACTGGGCCTTTTTATAAGAGTAAGTAGCAAAAGGACAAGGGAGTATGCTTTAACCTGACAAAGGGGAGATTAAGATGAAATCTTAGGAAGAAGTTCTTCCTTGTGAGGGTGGAGAGGCCCTGGCACAGGTTGCCCAGAGAAGCTGTGGCTGCCCCATCCCTGGCAGTGTTCAAGGCCAGGCTGGAGATGGCTTGGAGCAACCTGGTCTAGTGGAAGGTGTCCCTTCCCCTTGGCAGGGGGTTGGAACTAGATGAGCTGTAAGGTCCTCTCCAATCCAAATGCGTCTGTGATTCTGGAGGTTGCTACTGGAAAGGACTAAGGTATATTGCTAGGGCTGTATAATTAAAATCTGTCTGCAACTGCTCAAAGAACTTAACATGCTTGATCCATTAATTGTCTACTTTTTCACATTGAATAAATACTCCTTGAAAAAAAAAACTCAACAAAAAATAACTCTCCCCAAAAACCCAAATAAAAACACCACAACATTTCTTTTAAAACCAAAGCCTCATTACACACTGTGGACTCTAATAATCCATAAATCTCTCCTAATCTTCAAAAGTGAAAACAAACTTGAAAACATCATTTTTAAAATTGAAAATACAACTTCACACTGTACCTTTGCAAAAGCTGCTGCAGTCATCTGGACTCGTCCCTCATCAGAAGCGTAGATCTTGAGATCATGTCGGTAAGTGCTATGTAATCTAAGTAAACCACATCCAGGAAATCCAGCATAATCTCCTACCAAACAAACATTTTGCTCACTCTCATTTTGCACTTAATTATCTTCAAAGGTGTATATGCCATTCTTTTTTCATTTTTTTTTGTTGCCATTGTTTTTTTTTTACCTTGTCCACCAGGATACATACACCTGAAAGCCCTTCCAAGCTCCTCTGCTTGAACCCTGCCTGCAGGGGTCAATTCTCCTCCCCATTTTAAAACCAGAAGCAGGGATGGCTCATTTCTTCTATTATCTAATTGTAGACAGAGAAAGGAGTTAAGTAGTATATTCCTTTTTTTTTTTTTTTTGCAAATGACAAAAAATATTCAAACTATGGACTTCAGTAAAAGATTGAGTCAACATTATGAATATTTAACAGCGTTCTAACATTAAGAAAATATTAAACTGGAGAACTAAATGGGCAGTTAGAGAAACCTGAAGTAGCTAAACTACAGAAAAAATATAATAAAATATACTTAGCATGAAATCTGAAGCAAAAAGTAAATTGGGACAGGAAAAGTAAACCAAATTAGATGTTAAATACCCTACATTTATTTCAGTCAATAATCATGGGGCAAAGTTAAGAAAAGTTTATAAAAGTTTTAAAGACAGTAAATGTTGAGTCATATTTTCTCTTCTCTGACCCAAACCACTGTTTTCTGGTGAATGACTGAGTCTTCTTTTCACCCTACTTTTCTGTTACAAAAAAGTAGTGTTAGAAGACAAATTTACAACAGTTTTAGCTATACAATTCAAGAGACTCTGTCAATATCTGCCAATAAGAAATAACATTAATTGAAAATATATTCCTTTTTCTGACCATCAAGATGTCTTATACCACTAGTCCATGACTATTTAAATGCACACGATATTAAGTAATTAGGTACAAAAGTAATACAATACCTTCTTCTTCACTGGAAGTCTTTGGGCAGCCATGAGGAAGATATGTCAACTGAACTTTGCGATTTATTCCTGAAAAATGCCCATACCTGACGTAGGAAAATGAGAAGGAAATAGGCAGAGAAACATTTTACACATTTTCCTCCAGAACTGCTATGCTCCTGTAACCAGATATGCTGGTCACTGATCTGTGCATTTGACCACCATTTACTGAAGCAGCAATTAAAAAATAAACCTAACTCAACAAGCATAGTAAGACTACAGAAGAATCCATCATTTAAAAATCCATCATCTTTAAAAAGACATTTAAAAAATGCCATCTACTACTTTTTTCATGACACTGAACATCAAACTAAAAAAAAAAAAGGGGGGAAAAAGGAAAAAAAAGAAGATAAAAAAGGGGAAAGGGATAGGGAGGACAAAAAAAGGAAAGGAGGGGGGAAGGAAAAGGAAAGGAGGCAACAGCACTTACAGATTACACGAGTAATTTATTCAGATCCACAACCACAGTAGCTATGACTATCCAGAATCTGATCTGGCAGTACAGATGGCTACTATTTTGTCAGCCAGTAATTAAATTCTCAAGCAGAACTCATAAATTTCAATAACAGCCTTTGCCCCGATTTTCATTTTTTTAAAATGAAAGTTACCTACTGCCATTTAGAACTCTGAGCCCCTGATCTTTTACACACCTTGAAGCCTTAGGGTTTGGGGTTTTAATTAGTAAATATTAATATACAAATATTAAATATTAATATCTAAAGCCTTATTTATTTGGAATCCACCAAGTCTGCTTTAAGTACACAGTACACAGTGAAAGTTCCTATTGGCTTCACCAGACTTCATGTCACACACTGCAAGAAGCAGACCCTGCACTTAAATACTTTCATTTCAAAAACATGCAAGTGGATAAAATCTGAGATGAAAAAAGCAACATTTCACGCAGAATGAATACTTAGATACTAGATAAAGCAATACATTCAGTTAAGAAGATAAGGAGAAAACAGATGTTTCACTTCTTCATAATGTCAGACAGGACATCCTTCCTCTTCATAACCCTTGTGCTTGAATTAATATATCACTGCATACTTGATAACCATTGCAATGCAAGCACTAACTGGTCTAAAAGCTCAAAATAGCTGATGCAACTTTGTTGCTATGAAGCCTGAAAAATTAAACACTTACATTTCTAACACAGTCTTTAGCTGTTCAAGTTTTGCTTTACTTTCTTCAATTTCAGAATCATTGTTCTGTCCAAGTTCTACAAGGAGTTGTCTTGCTATATCAAGCACTTCCTAAAGAAACAAAACACAGGATTTACTTAAATGATTTTCTATTTATAAAATGCCCCTGCAAGAAAACAAAGACAAACTTGCCTGCAACTGTTTTGGTTTTTTCAGTTTTAGTTTTCCAGATTTATATCCATCACATTTTTCAAAAAGATCAAAAAACCTTTAAGAGAAAGAATACTGATTAAAAAAAACAGCTAGGAAGTTAAAATATTACTTGAACAAGTGGCTCTTAAACTTAATAGTGGTCTGAAATTGGCACCTTTACCTTATTTGAAAAGCATGCTAAAATCTGCCCTCCAGGTCAAACCAACCTTTATTCACATCCTATTTCCCAATAACGTCTGCAATACATTAGAGAGATAAGAGCACTTAAAATGTTCTTTTATTGATCTGCTAAGTGCTAAAAAAAATATATATATATTCTTCATAGCAAATGACATAATATTCTAATATATAGCTATGTAAATTCCTAATCTTCAAGAATGTTCCTGAACAGAACCAAAAATATGAGATGAGCAGTCCTACACTTTTACAGCATGCACCTCTGAATGCAAGAATCTAGTCCCAAGACAAATAATTACTAATTACTTTTTTACTGAAATTGCATCTAATTCCAGGACAATTATATTAGGCACTTTAGGAATCCTAACATAAAGATGCTATCTACCAGAAACTGAGAGCCATCAATCTTTTAGAAAAGTAAAAGTCAAAAAGGTAGTACAGCAGATGGCAGCTCAAACAAGCACAGTTATGATAAAAAAAGGCAGACGTCAATCAAATGGTGAACCAGAAATATTCTCTGCTGCATCTGTAGAGACAAATGTATTTTTATCAATAACACACAGGATTGTTCACATGGCACAGCATGTGATGAAGGAAGTCTGCATGAGTAATTTGTGAGTCCTGTTAGAAAGAGAGGTGCATACTGGTTTATTAGCTGCAACGTAAGTTAGATTTAAACCAAAACAAAACCAACTTGTAAGATGCAACCCCTGCTCAATTCTTTGCTTGCACATCCACAAGAAGTGAGCTGGGCTCTAAAGCATCCAAACTAATTTTTACAAAGATTCTCCTTACCTTTGATGTTTCACTTCCATTTTCATTTTTTGTTTTGGTGTTCGGTCCCCATGGCGTATTACAGCTATAACACATCTAAGCTCCATCCTGCAATTTCAAGAGTTACATTTCACATGAGGGTCTTGTATTTAGTACTAAAACCACCACAAATCAAGACAATTGACAAAGTCATAGTTAACATGACATAATTACAGAAATGATGGAAGAATATGCAAGAATATAAGGTTAACTGAAAATGATGTAAGGTATAAAATATAAATACTGATTTTAAGACTCGGGTAACTATGGAAATATCTATTTTAAGTAGTTTTCAAAGCAACAATTTGAGGTTCATTAAATGAGAAAGCATGTTTATTAAAAGCACATATTAAGCTGGCGTTGGAACAATGATTAGCAGTGAAGACACTATGCATAAGAGACACTACACTTGAAAATCTGCTGTTCTATACTCAGCTTGACTAAGGGTCAGAAACTGACTGCTGGCATAGCAATTGTGATTCCTTTCTTGTTTTCACCACACAAAATAAGCGTTCATAGGCCAAAGTGGGCACACCTTGTGAAGAGAAAAAAAATTCACACAAGTTACATTAGCAGTTTGCACAATCCAGATAGATTGACTATTTTCTTACATTGTTCCAGAGGTGGTTGGCACAATAGGAATGTCTTCAGCTTCCAAAGGAATTGACCATGGTATCTGAAACTGGGGAGCAAGTTCTCTCATTATGATATTTCTAAAGAAAGGGTTAAAAAAGAAAAAAAACAAGCCTAAGTTTAAAGCACAGCTTATACAACACATACAAACTCCAAACCAAATAGGTAATACAGACATGCATTTTTATCGATGTACTTTTAGAGTATTAGCAGTCACAAGTATGTGAATTTATATTTTTCTTCTAACTGCATAATAAAAACCTACTTAAACAACAATTTAAAGCTACTACAACTGCTAAAGAGACAACATTAGCCTAATGTCCCTGGATTTGTAAGAAACCCTTTTTTGAATTCCAGTTCCTAAAATAGCTCCTTGGATCTGATTCAGTCTTGTTCATTTGAATATTCAGACACTTGAATCCATTTGTAACTAAAGTCCCTGGTAATCAGTAAGCCATTCTCATCCGAGAGTAACTGGTATCTTTAGTGGCAATTACTCAAACATTTCCAGTTAGAACTGGAAAAACAGGTATGATAACTCCAAAACTGCTTCCATCTACAGAAGGTTGTAAATCTTGCTAATGTTCTGTTTTCCAAGTATTTCATCAAAATATACTGAACCTCAGATTAATATCTGTATAAGAAGCAGTAATATGGAGGAAAAAAAAAAAAGTAACTCTCAAAGAGTGTAAGCCAAAAATCTCTAAAAGGCTCAAAAAATGCTGCTGTCACTTAAAACTGCAATGTATAAAGCATAACAAAATAAAGTGTAAAGAAGAAAAAAACCTTTTTTCAGACAATTCAGTAGCTACAACTGCAATAAAGAAAAATCAAAATGGGTATGAGAATTGTAACTAATTCAGAAAGTGGCATAAAACAACAGGAGTACAGTTGTTATATCTAGGATTTGAGCTTAGCTCTTCCTCCATTTAGTAAGATCCCAGAGCATTTGATAATACAGAAAGTCAGCTGTATCTCATTAGTATAATCTTACTGTAAAACCAGTTTAACTGGTCAAAATAGAATCAGCCTACTTTGGGGGCAAGGTTTCACTGGCGTAGAGTTCACTACCCAATTCTGTATGATCCCTTGTTACACCTTTTTTTCCTTCCAGTAGCAGAGAGAAGATGGTATGACAGAAGACACCTTGATACTATATCCATTTGGATTTACCAATATGAAATTCACAAATATAGAAGTACACACCAGCTTCAGATCAAGGGCAATGTACATTAATTTGGGCACATATTGAACAGCAGCAAGCCCAACCATCCAGTGGTGCTTCTCTACTTGGTGGGTAGGGAAGAAAGTTCTTAAAGCTCTATTTCAGGAATTAATCCAGCTTTTAAAATACTTATTCAGTTAGCTTTATGTATTCACAAAACACTCAGATATTTCATATGATTTTAGGAATAAGAAATTTAGTTAGGATTTATTATTATTTTTAATATTTGATATTTTTAATTCCTTACTTTACGCAATATTTCAAAGAACTAATTTAGAAATAAGGAGTAAGGACATTACATATTCGTATTATATAATATATACGCAAGTTAATAGTACATTAAGTACAGTCACATATATATAGCAGAATTCAAAGACAAAACTCCTCGAATAAATCAGTAAAATCTTACCCCAGTATCTTAGCACAATCATCATAGTATTTCATAGAGTTTTTCACAAAACTGAAGCCATTCACATCGCAGACGTAGGACTGTCCATTAGCACGCAGCAAATCAAAGCCACAAACTGTTTGCTGGTTTTAAGAATAAAGTTTAAGTCATTGATCACCTTCCTTAGAACTTCTTATTCTAAACTAATTTTATATTTTAATATTGTATTAATCTGAAAACATGGCAAAATATGACAGATTTTATACTTGGTATCTTTTGCCATTTCCATGTTAGGTTTGCTCATGCCATGCAGACATCTTCCTATTTTTAACTCTATCCCCAACTTGTTTTTTACCATTGCTACATATCCCTACCAATATCAGTATTAAAAGCCAAGCCTGCATGTGCCTAAACTTATCCTTTGAGATAGCATAAGCAATGATAGGCCTACAAATTCTGCATCTGACAGCTGTTTCCCCCTACACATATGGGTCACAGGCAGAAAACAACAAAACACTGATAAAAACATTTTTGTCCAAATTTAAATTTGACAGGATGATTTTGACATTGACATAATATTGACATAGTTAGGACAAAATATGCCACTTCAGCAGATTACTTTTTCAGATCCCAAAGCTGACTTTGCTAGATAACAGAGACTCACACCCTTGAGGCTTGAATGCCATCATAGTTACACACAGGTAATGAGACACACAGAAAGACAGCCTTTTAATAAGACATGTGAAAGGAGGACGAGAGATTAAATGAAATTTTGAACAAAGGAATCCTAAAACTATATAAAAATCAAAACTATCAAACACTTCAAAAAGGGCCTGGTCATGCCAGTACCAAATTAACATTTAACTGGGCCCAATGTAAATACTAGGTAACAAAAGTTACAAAAATTTAACTACTGAAATCGTGTTTTGCTAACTGAGAAACCATTAACAAAATGTGTGAACATATGAATAGAACACATTGTGCGTTAGCAAAGCACAATAGCAACACATGAATTCAGGAAACTTAAGCAACATAAGCAGCCCATCCAGAACTTTTTAATGCATTAAAGTAAGAATTCTTCTAGATAAAAAAAGGATGTGGAAGTTCAACTTTTCACCTTCCCAGGAGTTCTGCAGCAACTACCACTACTGACTCTGTGCTCTAAAACCCTATGGAAGTTTCATGCAATAAACAATTAATTAACACTAAATGTTTGATCAGATAGGAAAGTAATGAGCTTACTTTAAAGGCAAGGCATACTTTCCAAGCAATTAACTTCTCTCTTGCATTCAGGATGACTGGATACCTCACTTCTTTTCCTTCACTATCGCGTTCTACCTTGCCATCCAGAGCTGGAGACTTCCGGGCTTCAGCATGAGCATAATCTGGACCTACTGTGTACACCTTTATTGAAAAGCAGAAGCTCTTGGTTCAGTGTATTTCAATCACATTAGATATACGCATACATTTTGCCAAATTTATCTCAAATGTGGTAATGACTTCAAATGAAACTAGCTGCTTTCATCGTTGAAAAGGTCACTCTGAAGTACCTTTTCCTCATTTATTGACTCATCATAAATTTCCCATTTATCCTATCATTTATTGACAAACTGGGATAAAGCAAGGGTAAACAGCTGGAGCACAGGTGAAGAAAAATAATAATTATAGAACTTGATTACTAAAACTGAATTTCTTAACTGTGATGGTACAGAGATAAAGAATAATATTTTCCTCTCATCTGCAGAACCTGAGAACACGTTAATCTGAGAATTACTTCAGTTTATAGTTTGATTATGGAAATCGAGCTTCAGGACTAAGTAATTCTCTTAATTAAAAATATTTTCATATTTTAGACAGGACAAAATAAATACAAAGATGCGCCCAGTTTAAGCATTACAAGACAGAGGCTTAGGGCAACAACACAAGAGGGAGGTGGAGCTGCTGGAGCAAGTAAAGAGGAGGCCACGAAGGTGCTGTGAGGCTGGAGCAGCTCTGCTCTGGAGACAGGCTGAGAGCTGAGCTTGTTCAGCCTGGAGAAGGCTCCTTAAGGGGAGACCTTAGAGCAGCTCCCAGTGCCTAAAGGGGTGATAAAATCTGAAGAGGGGCTTTTGGCAGGGCCTGTAGGGACAGAACAAGGGGAGTGGTTTTAACCTGACAGAAGAGAGACTGAGATGAGCTCTTAGGCAGAAGTTCTTCCCTGTGTTTCTGGTGAGGCACTGCCACAGGTTGCCCAGAGAAGCTGTGGCTGCCCCATCCCTGGCAGTGCTCAAGGCCAGGCTGGCCAGGCTTGGAGCAACCTGGTCTAGTGGAAGGTGTCCCTGCCTGTGGCAGGGGGCTGGAACTGGATGAGTTTTAATGTCCCTTCTAGCCCAAACCATTCAATAATTCTGCGACTCTGTGTTTACACAGGACAGTATATGCTGCTCAAAGAACCTAATACAATACAAAAAAAGAGAAACAATGTGTTGGGTAATAAGCCTCTACCCCTTGACTCCTAACAACGTAAGCAAAGCTGCTCCACATTACAAGTACTGTGTTTAGTTAGAGTAAAAATTATGTTCTTTACTTATGATCTGTACCAAAACTTCATTAGAAGTAATACTTGACAAAAAGCTATAATTTTATCTTTAAAACTGACAAGATCTTGGAGGACTCAATTGTTCTAAATATAAGTAAGAACACAGAGCTGTCATACCTTCACATCAGTGCCATCTGTAGGCATGAATTCCTCATAAATATAGGAGCCTGTTTTTCTCACACTGCTTTCAGGGGAATAAACACTGCTTCTGCTGCCAATCTGAAATGAATATTTTTCTATTAATAAACTCATAGGCTTCTGCCTAAGAAACTTTAAAACTTCTTAAAATAACACACTTGTACTGAGAAAACACTTCCTGTAACAAATGAAGCAAATAGGCTTTGCTAGTTCCCAAACGATTTTTGTAAGACTAAAAGTGCACTGATAGTGCACCGGCTTTTTACCTATAAGAATCTGCAGTGGCTGACAATCTGCTGCAAGGAATAAGGGTCTACATGTTTCCCTGACATAAGTCTGATCCATCACTGCTTCCACAAGCAGGACATGCCAAAACAGGTCCCAGGTAACATATGGATAGGTTAGACTTACTCTGCAATTATGTTAAGACATCTACAACTTTTTAATAGTTTAGTACAATAACCTCACCTTTCGAAAGAGCCTCTGGCTTCCACCTCCAGCAGACGTTGGATAATAAATGTAAACATTGTGGTCCTCAGCACTAACGGGCTTTTCTACAAAAGGCTTTTGGAAAATCTCTCCATTCACTTCCACATGATCTTCTCCCTCAATCAAGTTACATTCTGAAGAAACAGTGAAAACAACACAGTTTATACTGATAGAATGAAATGATTAAGAGACTTGGCTTAATTTTGTAGGTTGAAATAAAGAGACTGTATTACATTTTTGTTTCCTTGATTTGTTACTGACTGCACAAAGTGGTGATTGTGCGCTGAATATACCTGCAGTACCATGCCCATATTATGTTCCAGCATTTCTTTTGATTTCCTCAGACAGGAAATCATCTTTTAATGATGATTAAGCACAAGCTTGCATGGGCAGTATGCTTTTTCAACATGTTTTGAAGACAGGGGGTAAGGCTGTTTGTCTCTTTCTTCAGTGCCTTTCTGTGAAACATCAGGGAGATGGCAGATGGACAGTGAACATGGTGCAATGCCAGACACAACAGTACTTTTAATAGGTTGAGAACCACCTCCTACTGTCTGATGGATGCACCTTGCACAGAGGATTCGGTCCTCTTCATTACTGGTTGGCTACAAGGAGCAGCTTTCATTTGACTTTTGTAGCATAAACAAGTCCCTTTCCCCCTAGATTACGCAGACATTTTAACATAAAATCCCCACCTCTTATGAACTACACCACAGTAATACTTCTATTGTTTTTAATTTTTCTTCTTAGTTTTGTGTCTTGACCTGTCATTGTAATCTTCTATCGTTGATACAAATTTTCAGTTTAGTAGAAAAAGACATTAAGTTTCTTTTCAGGTACAAAAAAAACTAATTACCATTTATATTCAAGAGTGTATCATCTCCAGATCTGTCTAGACTAGGTTCCCCTGGTCTACAAGGGAAACAACAAACGTGGTTGCTTGTACTTAGAAGGGAAAATATTCAATAGCCTAACTTGTTTCTGCCAATATTCCTTTCCTGAGTAAAATTACTAATTATTGTGGGTAATGCTGCTTTGTTTGGTGACATATTAGAATCTTAGTTTGAGTTTGGATGCCCTAATATTCTAGTTGTTGTAGGATGGCTGTAGGAGGACTGTGACCGCAGGCTTTGGAGTCATGCTTTTCAGATGCACACTTGTATTACCTGTGGCTGGGATGGAGTTAATTTTCTTCACAGAAGCTGGTCTGGTGCTATGTTTTGAATTTGTGACCAAAACAGTCTTGACATTTCGTTATTGCTGAACACTGCTTATACAGCCTCAAAGCCTTTTCTGTTTCACATACTGCCTCCAAAGCCAGACATAGGGCTAATCCACAATACTTTAAATGCTAGAGAAGCAAGCAACCTCTGCACGAATGAATTGTGTAGCAGGTGAAATTTAGCTTTCTGCTATGTATGTTCTCCAGTGGAAACAAGAAAGTGCTAATTGTTGATATTTTAGTCATCATTTTTTACCTTGGGGATTGTTTGGATCACGGTTCAGAACTGCATAGCGAGGAAGTAAAATGCCTTCAGCTTTAAGAATACCGTAAACTTCTCTCCTGTAAGAAAAGAACAAAGGTTGCACAGTAATACAAATCCTGCCAGTGTTTGTATTTTACAGCCCATGAGTAAGGGAGGAGAAAAATACATATTTTTTTTTTTTCTAAATCACACAGAGTAAGATTACATACATAATACCCATATGAATATAAAGCTTTAAGGGTCACTGACACAACTGTACCTTTGCAGTGATCTCATCAATACCAATAAAAATGTAGTTTGCTTTGCCAGTCCTCTCCAGTCTCCCACTGCAACAGCAATTTACACAAAATAATTTTCTTGTTAAAGGTGGTTATGAACATGAAGGGACAGCAACTGAAGGCATCCAAACCAGCAAGTCTGCTCACTATTCAGAAGGCTCCAATGTTTATGTATTTTGCTTGCTATTGTTTTGTTAATATTTACTACGCATGACTGCAGCTCCAAAAAGAAAATTCACTTTGAGTAAGTACATGATCTTTGCATATGAAGAACTTGTACTAAGTATCCACTTAAGGGAAAAAAAGACCTGTAGTGAGTTGCAAGAACTGTACAATGATAGGAGGTTGTACAGTTGCTACACATTTTAAAAAGTTTAAACCTTATTTGCTAAGCTTTAGACAAATGTATCACCAAATTCCTACCTTGACAAATCTACAGACAAATCAGTATAAAAGTGGAAAAAGAAAAAACATATAAATACATACCCCAGGAAACTATGCATACAGTAATGAAGGGTAACATTCACTGTAATTTTATTTAGACTACTGCACTATACACTGTAACTGCTGCTACGCAATAACAACAGATTTGTACAGTCTCCAACTTAAAAGTAGTTTGCTGCAAGTAATTAGTGTTACTTACCTGTCTTGTATGTGATACTGCATATTCAAGTCATTGATTATGAATGGCTTCCTGAGTTTTGCATAGGCAACTGCTTTGTCCAGCGGAAATCCTAAAATATTTGTTACAGCAAATAAATTAAAACTACAAGACACAACACCACGAAGAAGGTTGGAACCTTCATATCCAAGCTTTTTCCTTTTTTAGAGTACAACCAGAGATATAGCTTAAGTGGGAAGATGCTCCCTCAGCTATAGACATAACATCAGCTTAAGACAATCAGGAGACTACAGCCTAATTTCAACATAGGCTGCCAAAAGTAGTGGTCCTGTCTCCAATTCCTTTCTCCTCTCTCCACGTCCTTCAATTCCACAGGGCCAGAACTTAGGCTTTTATTGCCTCTGCCTAGAAGTACAGCTTTTAGCTTCATCCAACAAAGATGTGCTATATCTTTGCTTTACAGCCCAGACCCACAAAACCTCCTAGATATTAGCAGAGATGCATGAACAAGTGGCCAGAGACCCAGCACTCCTACTGAGAAAGTAGCATGCCATCACAGTTATTGGACCAAGTAAGTATTAGACCACTGTTTCCACTGGCTACATAAATATTTACCAATGGAATCGCTATCTTAAATACCACATCAGGCAGGACTGTCTCAAGCAATGAAAACAGTACAATTTAAAAAGTTTGTATTTTAAAAGTAAATCATATTATATTAAAAAAATTAATCACTTCCTAACAAAACCCAAAAAACTACAAGACAAAAAAAATACCCTCAAAGTGGTTAAAGTATTTAGACGTCAAAGGAAATTATGGTATCATTAGCAGATTTACCTTTAGAATGAAAAGAAATGAGACAGTCGCATAAAGGCCACTTTTCTACTGGCTCATTCAAAATAACATCTTCTTCAAATATTATCACAGTTATGTACTTAAACATGGAGAGGCGTTCAAGAATTTCTTTCATTGGTTTGGACTTGGACTTTTTAGCCATTGAACATATCCCAACTGCGATTTGTCTTTCCGGTGGCTGAAGGCAGTGGGGAGGAAAGCAATTATTAAGTTTTCTCAGAACACAACAGGGTTTTTGCAGCACAGTACTAGATATGATAGTTTCTGTTAAAATTCATGCACTACCTTCAGTTTAATATTTAATTGGGTAAATTGCTAGCAGGTAATAAAATGCAGCGTGACAGCATGCCACAGTGCATTCTTATAAAAAATACCTCAAAAAATGAAACTATTCAATTGCTCTACACTACTTCTTGTGAGTATTGTATCAGGAAAAAAATACACAACATCAACATCTAAGTCAGAAATGTCAGATCTGAATACTTATGGCTTATTCTGAAATTATCCAACAATTCATTTTTAACCTATTTAAATTTTCTATATCTACTTAATAGCCACAAGACTGCTCATCTTTTTACATAGTATTACAAGTAAGATATGAAAAAACTAGTAAACCAGAGAACACTATTCTATATTTAAGCTATTTTTTGCATAGATAGTTTCACTTTTCTTTTGTACAGTCTGTATTTTCTTTCCTATTATAAGCCTTGAAAAAATTTTCCTCTCAGTGGGGTCCATTAGCGCAACAGCATTTGTTTAAGAAGAAACAAACCCACCCCCCAACAATCCTTTATTTCATTTTAAGTATTCTTTTAAACAGAAATGATAATTTTGCATTACTTCTCTGCATTTCCAAGTTACTTTTAATCATGAAGTGTTTTACTAACACTCACCCGCATTTAATTTTTTTAGACATGCCTACCATCAGTAAAAATTTAATCTGACTATTCCTAAAGTGAAATGATACAGACTAAAAGAAAAGCAAAACACATCTACAAAAATTACATGACAACTCATGCATAACTAAAAATTGGTAAGCATAGTGCTAAAATACAATTCATAACACTCTGCAAGGATAAGAAACTAAGGCATTAGTTAATTTAGCATGCACTTTCTATATGCCAGGACAGAAGAAGAATGAAAATACAGCAGATCTTAATGAAAACAACAGCAAGATGATATAAGAAATGTTGAGTTTGTTTAAACAGAAACATCAAAAGTTAACTTTGCGGCAATTGACAACACACACAGAAGAAAATCTTGATCATTTTTTGCTACTAACTATCCAAATAAATAAAATTAAGGCTTATGCCATCAAGTTTATTCACAGAATCCAAATCAAATCATGCAAAGCTGGCATGCCCTGAAACTCTGTATTAAGGTCAAGCACAACTACTTCAAAGTTCACAGTATACTTACTTTTCAAATGTGCTGCATTTCCAAACATAACTTACAGATTATTGTCTGAATATGAACAGTTTTCCAATTTAGAACACCTTAGATTTTTGTGATTTAATGCCATTTCAAAGTAAAATAATGCTAGACAACACACAGAATAGTACACACATGCTCCAACAGTACATACAGAGTCATACTCTTCCTCCTCTTCTTCCCCATGGTCATAGAACTGCTCATAATCTGACGATCTGCCTGAATCCAGTAATCCTTCTCCATCTTCTCCACCCACAAAGAATCTAGGAGGATCATTCTCTGTTGCGTGAACAGACATGGTTTAAAGATCTAGAGAGATCTATGTAGAAACTGCAGCCACTTTGGCAGTGGAGATACTACTGGGCATGTTTCCCACTGACTCAGGAATACAAAAGTTCCCTGCTCTTTAATGTTGCTTGTGCAGCTTCGCCACTGTGATGTTGTCTGCCAGACGCCGTTTAACTGTTATCATCTGCTCATTATTGGTTTGAGTTGCTGCTCCAAAAAACTAACAACAGGCTACTGCTTCCCTGAGACGACAGAACTTTTTAACCTAAGACAAATATTAAAAAAAGAAAGAAAAACCACACTTAGTAAAGGCACATAAAAATTAAACCCTTCTCATTCAGAAAGTGTTTGCACATTTACATACCTCTGAGCAAAGCATCATAAGAAAACTGTGCATATTACACACAATCTGCACTTTTACATTACACTTAGAGCAGGTGGAATAATTTCAAGGTATTTTCGAACTACTGATGCACAGTTTTTAGAAATAGACAATATAGCTCATGAAAGTCTGTCAAATGCATTTTTTCCCCTAACTTAAAAGAGTCACGTGAAAGTGAAGAGTATATTATACAAAACCCAACAAAACCCTTCTCTGATATATGTGATATTTAGCTCACCATCTCTGTCGCTATTTTTTCCCCCAAAAGTTTCTGATCAAATGGCAATGGCAAGCAGACACAAATGTTAATGAAAATTATAAAGCCTCCATTAGGACTGTTCTTATAGGGAAACCTCTTCTTTCAAAAACTGAGTGAATCCTCAGTGTGAAAGCAGGATGTATGTGCCAGCTTAATGTTTGCTCATTTACTTCCACCAAAGCATTGCTTTATTTTCACACTGAAAAACTAGTATTTACAGAGATATGCACTGGCACTGCATTCTGTCAAAAGTACTTCCAAGCACTACTGTACCAGTGAAACATATTGTACCCTTTCAACCAATTATTTGACCAAGTAACTTTTATACAGAAACAGGGACTCAGAGCTCAGTCTTCTGTTGCTTTAACTAGGTAACTGCTCTTGCTGTAAGTTGTGCATGGCTTTATACCTTTAATTATAATACATTATTGCTACTCAGAAAATTAATAAGCACTTACTTGTTTAGAAGTTCATTTGATCGACTGCTTTAGGTTGTTTATTAGTCAGATCATTATGTAAGTGCTACTCAACAATGATGTCTCAGCAGAATGAAATTTGTCTTTAAATGCCTGCCAAAATGACTTTGGCTGTCCTATGAACGAGGTGAAGCAACAGTAAATTCCCAATAGTGATTAACCATTCAGCTTACTGTGAAAGAGGATGGTAAACAGAACAAAAATTACCCAGAAAGAATCTGTCCTAAGTCAGAGAGCAGTAAGTTAAGCGCAGGTAAACAACAGAACTGTTCCAGATCCAGAAACTCGAGGTGAGGTCCAGACAACAGGCACATATGGATCCTGGAATGTCAGCAGAAGATTAAAAAGATTCATTTCTTAAACATATTTGTTATGTATCTGCTTTCCCTCAATTCCACTAATGAAAAATTACTTTCCCTTAGAATATGAAAATGCAGCCACTTGTCCCTCAAGCAACAGGAACAAAAATGAAATTTCAAACATCTCATTCATCTCCCTTGAGAGTTAGAAATTCAGCATTAACATAAATCAGTCTTGTTTATGACAGGATGAAGAAAGCGAGCTTTACACATCCCATTTCTAGAAAGCTTCAGAAGGGCAGAGGTGCTATAAGGAAAGCAAGTGCCTGGAAAACACAGGGTTAAAATACTTTTAACTTAACTTAGGTCTAAGATAGAGAACAATGTTTGTGCTGTAAGTCTGTGGTGTGGTAATAGAATTTAGTAGTCTTACTAACATGAGTGACTGTCCTTCTAATGAGTGAATTATTTCTTACCATACTTCGAATTATCAGTTAGTTTGGAGACAGTGATTCCCGAACATCTGCTAGCTTCGGATACTCCTTGTCTGCCCATCCTGTTTTGCTTGCGATAAATTTTGTACGAAAGTCACACTGTTCTAAATCTTTGCCAGCGATCAGAAACTTACATATATGGCTGTTTCAGCTAATTTTGTGATTACTGGGGCATCCAACTGTGCCAAAGGTGAAAAGTACACTGTGAGGAAGACTGCTTACTTTATCTTGAAGACCCCTGCCCACATAAGGAAGACTACTTATTTCATCTTGAAGACCCTTGCCCGTGACCATCGGAGGGCAGTGCGCAAGCGCCCAAAAGGAAGAAACTTATGATAATGAGTACCTAAACTAATTGTAATACCCTCGCAGCTCTCTCTGGAACCTAATGAATAGGCATGTTTGTGTGTAATAAATATCTGCTTGCTTAACCCCTCGGTGTGCAAGTTAGGAGGAATGATCCCCCTTGTACCCAGGCCCGTAATACACATACCTGCTTTAACTCGTTGAGTTGTAGACTCTGATTTCGTGCCTCAGAGGTTACTGCCAACATACAGTGGCAACTAATACAGAACTTTAAAATGGTACTAAAAAAAACCAAGCAAAAAAATAGTAAAGCCTGAAAATGAAGAGTTGCTCTTGCATCAGCTTCCCCTCCCACTACCCAAATTCTGTAAATTGGAAACAAGTCTCTTAACAGTTTTTAAAACCTAAGTTTTTTTCATAAAGAAGGAAAAGAAATCACTTGAAACAGGCAAGCAGGAGGCCATGAAAAGAGATTTGTTAAGCTCTTTCCCCTACCTATTCCTGTAGTGCACTTTCTAGGAGCAGCAGCAGTTGCGAAACTTCTGTGCTATTAATGTCTACTTCTTTCATGAGTATCTCTGGCACTACCTGAATCTCTCTAACCTCAAGTGATTAGTTCTCAAAGCAAGTAGAAACCACATAACTAAAGACTGAAGAGAAAGCTCAACATATCTGTCTACAAATGACACAAAGATAGAACCTGACAAGATTAATTCCCTAATAATCCTATCTGAAACCTAGTGGTTTTCTACCCTCCTAACTCAAGAATCTGGAGAGTGTTGGTGTTATTGGTGGCAAGCAGACCTGCCAAGTGAAGCTCCACTTGCAAAAATAGACCTCGAGTCACAAAGTCTTGGAGTTAACAGCTAATTTTCTGTGAAATTACATTCACCCATCTGAAAGTGGAAGAATTGCTAGATTGCAACTCTGTCCTATTGTCACTGGGGCCTAGAGTTTACAGTTTGTAAAAATAAGACCAAAGACACAGGATCAAGAAGGACACTGACAATTTCCGAGCCCATACACTACTGCATGGACACCCAGAACTGCATATAAATTAGCATTCTGATAGCTGATGGTGACCATCTTATATTCCAGACAGCATATGCTGTAAAATACTGTTGCAAGCAGAAATTTGAGCCAGGATATAATGAAATAATTTATTTTTTTAGAATAAATGCTTTCAGAGATGGGAATTAAAATTCTTTCCCCAAAAATCTTTTGGTTACTATAAAAATTGAGGCATCCCCTTCTTTCTTGAGGTGTGTGAAATGAAGAGTCTTAGAAAAGAGACACAGAAAGAGAAATCTGACAGTGACAGCAACTACAGGAAACAACTTACACAAGTCTCCTAAAATAATCTACAGTTATCTGACATAAAAAATGCAGTAAGACTGTGTTTGAATAAGTATGTGGTTATCAGCTTGTACAGCAAGGAGAAATAATATATGGCAGAGCAAGAAGACGGAGCTGCCTTCCTGACCCAGAAGTACTGTCAATGCTGATGGGACACTAACACACTGTGCCCCATGCAGAATTCCATCTTGCTGCCCCTGCAGCTGGGAAGTCTTCCCAGTACTGTTTTTCTGTATTAAGAAGTGAGCATCAGCAACAATACACAGCAGGGATTACATCAGATCATACTTGGTGCGTGAGCATAAGCCTCATCAGGCAGTGAAGATTAGAAGGTAACATGCATGTCTCAACCACAGAAGACTGCTATGTAAGCAAAGCAAACCCCAAAACTTGGTGTTGGAACATACACTGACCCATTTCCAAAGAGACAGCATCAAGAACATCTAGGCAACAGTCTCCTACCGTGCAATGACCTTCACAGGTTAAATTGATTAGACTATGTTCCCTTCAGACCTCAGCTGTTACACAAGGCTTCTGTTTTACAGCTTACACATGGAAAAAAACAAGCCTCTGCTAGTTTTGAAAAATGCAATTTAACCAACAGTGTCAATTCTTAAAAGGACTTCCAACCAAATAGCGATCTGTCCTATAGGTTCTTATCCATGACTACCACATGCTACCTGTAGGCAAAAAAACTGTTTAATTTTGCATTCTCCTTTTGAAATAAACTTATCTCAGTTTTCCCCTAACAAGTTAGATGGCCCTAAAATAGTGCACTGTAAATGAAAAGTAAAAATCTTACATTTAACTAATATTATTATCACTTAGCAGTGGAAGGTATACAAAATAACATTCTAAATACATAAAATGACACATAGACAAACATCATTAACATACATGTAGGGCTGTGTTCAGATAACAGATTTTGGCAGCCTGCTAAGCACTCCAAGCCCAGTGTTCCCTCCAGTGGCACACTACAGACTGTTTTCCTAACGCAACATTTCTCCACTTCCACAAGTATATTCTTACAGATTTCCACAAGAATATTCCAAAAGAATAAGCACAGACACAGTATTCACTAAGTGTTAAAAGTTTTCCTGCCCCCATTCCACATGTTTCAGCAGCTCAGGAATACAGCCCTAGCATTTCCTGTACTTACTCAGCTCATAAAGATTAGCATTCCTTAACTGTCAGCAGCAGATCAGCTTAACATAGCAGCAGTGGTCTGAATGGTTGTTTAAAAGGGGCTCAAAGTTTTAACAGCCATGTTCTGAATACTAACAACGCCATACACATCTGCTGGATAAACAAAAGCATTTCATCAGATTTTCTTCTCTGTCATTACAGCTATCAAGAGGAACAAGTACACACTGCCTCTACTGCTCTCTAATGGAAACTAATAGAACAAAACTAGACAAAAATTGCTCCCCATCTGTTATCTGAAAAAAAAAAAAAAAACACCAAAAAAAAACCCCAGAAAACCCCACAAACCCCAGCATCTCATACACTAAACAGCTATAAAACATTTCTAAATCTTGAACCACTCAGGAAAACAACTTCTGGAAATGCCATTGTAACAAAATAACTACAAAACACTTTGTGACATTTACATTAGGGAACAAATAGGTAACACACAATAAGTGTAAGTGGTGCTTTAATAGCAATTTTTCAGGTAGTCTCAATGAGATGACAC